ATGTGTATGTATGTCTCGGGTTTTGGATTACTATTTGATTCATTATCAATTGCTTGGCAGTCTTTTTTCACTAAGAGCGTCGAATTCCTTGGTTTATGCTGAGACAAGCTTTGCGAAGCCTTACTCCATTCATATGAATATACTCACACTCCTCACCACTTGAATAGGACAACCCATGAAGTCAGTTTTCTTTCACCCGCTGCTCACAAACCAAGCACGTTAGAGACTTAATTAATTTTAATGATTTTAATTTTACCAAAAGTAAGATTAAATGCTTCGGAGCCGAATAGGTCCACTCCTCCCCTCGCAGTCTTTCTGGTATCGCTGCTCGTTAAAAAAAAACAGCTTGATTTTTTGGTTATTGTCGAGAGGAGGGATTTTGGTAAGACGGCAAAGCTGAGCGCGCAGTTTTCTCTCTTTCCAACGAAGTTCAGGCTCTTCTATCTCGCTTCCTCCTCTAGGTGGCGCACACTGGATGAGGAATAGAGTGTATGAAAGAGGGACTAAGCACGTGGCAGGGGGTAGCCAATTAGCCAGCCGAAATGGTTTTCTTTATTCTGGCTCTAATAATCCTCCGATCTTAACCAGATTAGGCAATATGGTAGATATTGTTTTGGTTATGATTCTGCGTTTTCGGGTTTTCTCGTATCTTTACGCAAATATCTTGTCGCGAATGTTCACCCTTTGTAAGAAAGGTAAATGGTGGTAAATTTTTGAAGCATAATTATTTTTGTGTGATATCACTAGAAACAAAATTAGTTTGCTTTGGCTAACAAGTCGTTAAACATGACGGACAGTCGGGCAAGCAAAACGTGACTATATGTATATATACTTTAAGGGGTCGAAAACACTTTTTTCTGGCTGTTTCGTACATCATTGCATACACAAATCTATTATGTATGCACATATGTACATATATATACATATAAAGTATAACAATATGCGCCATGGTCAGGGGCGAAGCATAGTCGAAAAGAGAACTGAATAACCTATTTCTTATATTCACGGCTATCCTAATCAATATAGGAGAACTTGTCGTGGATACACGAATGATTTGTTCGATTTGGAATATCTCTTGAAAGGCAGTTTTTGAGTAACAAATTAGAGTTTCTATTCGTCAAAGCAAGCATGATATGATGTGAACAGCTAAGTCATTGGTGCATAATTAACGCTCTTCCTCTTAACATTTGCAAATGTAACGTCATGACCTTCCATCACAACAAGCCTTACCTTTTTGACTTCACGATTATTAACATTTCCTTGGAACGCCTGTATAAAATTAATGACTTAGGCATTATCTTCGTACCTAACTTATGTTTTAATTCTCATATATCCGCTATTTCGAATAAAGCCATAGGAGTCCTTGGCTTTATCAAAAGATGGTCGAAGAAATTTTCTGACCCCTGTACCACTAAACTACTAAACGTTTCTCTGGTCCGGCCTATCTTGGAATGTGGTTCCTGCATCTGGTCTCCTCATTACCAAAAATATCAAGATATGTCCGTTCAAAAAGAATTACTTATCTTTGCCCTGCGCGGTCTTAATTGGCACCCCTCTCGTCATCTTCTTTTCTATGAGAGTCGGCTGCGTCTTATTAACTTGCATTCTCTTGAAAGCCGGAATTCTTGTCATGGAATTCTATTTCACCATAAACTTCTCCTAGGCGAGGTTGAATCCTCGGCCCTCATTAGCCTTATCAGTGTTGCTGTCACACCCCGCCCGACTAGGCATTACTTTCCTATCCGTCTTCCTCTCTGTTCTTCAAACTACTCCGACCATGAATCTTTCCGTGATTGCCGCGATTACAATATTATTTTCCATCTTTTTATACCCGATACTCAAAATGAGTATTGGGGTATATTAGATTTGTGGTAAAAGTGGATGTGTGTAACGTCCAGAAGGAATCGTTTCCGACCCTATAAAGTATATATATTCTTGATCAGCATCAATAGCCGAGTCGATTGAGCCCTGTCTGTCTGTCCGTCCGTCCGTCTGTCCGTCTGTCCGTCCCCTTCAGCGCCTAATGCTCAAAGACTATAAGAGCTAGAGCAACGATGTTTTGGATCCAGACTTCTGTAATATGTCACTGCTCCAAAAATATTTCAAAACTTTGCCCCGCCCACTTCCGCCCCCACAAAGGGCGAAAATCTGTGGCATCCACAATTTTAAAGATACGAGAAAACTAAAAACGCAGAATCGTAGAGAATGACCATATCTTTTAGACTGCAGAATCTGAGTTCGATCGTATTATTATTATAGCCAGCATCAAGAAAACAATTTCATTTTTTCTCGCCCTTTCTCTCTCTAACACACAGGTAGCATAGGCGGCTTTGCTTAGAGTAAAACATTAGCGCCTAGATCTCAGAGACTATAAAAGCTAGAGCCGCCAAATTTGGTATCCACACTCCTAATATATCGGACCGAGACGAGTTTGTTTCAAAATTTCGCCACACCCCCTTCCGCCCCCGCAAAGGATGCAAATCTGGGGATATTCACAAATCTCAGAGACTATTAAAGCTAGAGCAACCAAATCTGGTATCCGCACTTCTGTTAGATCTCACTATAAAACCTTTATCTCAAAATTTCGCCCCACCCCCTTCCGCCCCCACAAAGGACGAAAATCTGTTGCATCCACAATATTGCAGATTTGAGAAAACTAAAAACGCAGAATCATAGATAACGACCAAATCTATCAGATTGCTGAATCTGGATCAGATCAGATCATTTTTATAGCCAAAGGAAACAAATCAATTTGCAGTGGCTACGCAGCGCGTGACGTCACGCTCAGACTGATTTTCTGTCTCTCGCACGCTCTCTTTGTCGTGTCGTTTAATATTAGCGGCGTCTGCCGGAGGAGAGCCATACTGACTTAGTATCGGGTATAACCGTAGAGTTGCGGTGTCCGCAGCAACTCACAACGTTCCACCTCGTTTTGTTTGATACTTCCACTTCCAAAGATCCAAAGATCTTCTCTAATAAATAATTTAAGTTAAATTTCTTCTGCCTTGTGTTAGTGTACTTTCAAGTAGTAGATAATTTTAAGATTTTTACATTCTTATTTCTACACTGTTTATCTGTTCATAGTTGAACTCTAAACTCTAAACAATAAACAATAATAAACTTAAGGTCCAACTCTTACTCTCTCTTTTATTTTTTGTATTTATTTAGTTCATACTCTATCTTAGCGCTACAAGCTTAAACTTATAATTATTGCGCCAGTCACATTATGTACATTTTTAGAAAAGCTTACGTTATTCTTATAGTTGTGAGTTAACATCATTTTGTTTACTTTTTTTTCAAATGAATAAATGACTTTATTTATTTATTTGTTAACATATTTATATCGATTTCCTGAGAATTCTTTAATTTTGTAGTGAAATTGAGTTGCGCTCCTAATTTTTTTAATATCATCGGGAAGATTTCTCCATAAGCGGATAGCAATGATGAAGAATAGCCTCTTCAAGCAGAGCGTTCAGTTCGAGGTCATAAGCAATTGTTTGTTCTTTGTGATGTAGAAGGGGGAAGTTTGCGGTAAAGGTAAATCGGTTCTTGGGTGGTCCCAATTTTATGAAAGTATACTTAGGTTCTAAAATCTATCCATAAAGTTAAGTATTTTATAAGTCAGGTGTAATGCATGGTCAAAACTACTAGGATTAATAACATGGCACTATTGAATTAACGGCTACTACTAGTGTGTGCATGTCACGAGCGTTACAATGACCAAAAATTGCTACACCGTAAAAGAGAGTGGTGATCAGAATGATTTTAGAAATAAATGGTCTTACATTTTCCGCACAAAAGTTTTAGATGCTGAAAGCTGATTTAACGGACCATATGTACGTTCAGTTGCCTTTGAGGTTATTCCTAGATTAACTTCAAAAGGTCTTCAAAAGAAATGCATGTATTGCCTATGTATTCGTTCTCGAGATTGTTTGTATCAATCAGTTATTTGGCAATTACAATACATTTTTTTTAGGAGTTATTTCCAAGCCATTATCTTTTGCCAATTTCTCAATTTAGGAAAGCATTTTGTTAGTTGCTCCAAAAGTAAAAGCAAACAACATATTGTATTATTATTTTATAATCAAATACAAGGCCTTTATTAAATGAAAATAAAAAGTTAGACGTGATGACACAACAAATTTAAATTCATTATCGAGATTCTTAACATAAATTGGACGTCATTGGCATATATATGTATGTACTTCACATTCTTTCAAGACACTAGGTAGATCATCAACATGTGTGGAAAACAATAGAGTACCTAGCTCTGATTCCTGAGGGACTCCCCGCGTAAGTATCCTAAAAGTGGAAGCATACATACGTACTAGATACGCAGTGCCTGAGGAGTTGAATAAGTCCGTCTGTTATGTGTAAAGAATATTATGATTAACTGAGTCGTAACCTAGTCCTTGTCGAGTTTCTGTCGAATACATATCTTCTATAATATCCGTTATAGAATACAACATTTACAACAATATACAACACTTTTTTTCGAAAACCTGAATGCTTTTGGTTCAATTGCGTGTTGTTAGTCCCGTGAGAGTTTGACAATCTTTTGAGAGGAACGGAAATATTGAAATGGGTTTGAAGTCATTGTTAGTTTTTTGGATTGGTAAAATTTTCCATACATTCGGAATTGCCGTGTTCAAGGTAAAGGTGATGTGGACAAAATCTTGCGATTTTGATTGACACACCCAAAGCAAAAACTATTATCACAGAATGGAATGGTATTCAGGTACGTGTTACTTGTCGCTTCAGTTACATCAATTGTCGAAAACTTGTTGATAAGTTCTTCGACATTTATATTAAGCTGAGTCTTCTGTTTACATTTCTCTATGTAATGGCTGTAGAAAATGATGTTGATGAAACCATGTTCCTATCCTATATTCCGCGACCCTTGCGAACACCTTACCTTACACCATGCACATACCATTTAAGATCTAAAACTAAAGTTTAATATTTAGTAATAAATGATGGCTTTTAGCAGTTTACAGCTTAGTAAAAATTAAGCGTAGAACGTGGGCACACCCATCCCGTTATCATTTCATAATACATCGGTAAATAATGACAAGGCAATTGCCGATCTTTTTGTCCAATTTTTCCAAAACCTATTATTAGGAAAGCTACTCTGGTCACTACCTACTGCACCTTCCACTTTTCGAGCCATACCTACAGGTCACTATCTGGCTTCCCTACATGCAACAAAGTTAGGCATCGCCAACCGTGACAGTTCCAGGCAATATGATCAACCTGAGGTCATCGAAACCCTGGAACATCTCATCTGCAACTGCCCAGCTCTTTTATTGGCAAGGAGGAAATACCTGGGCGCCCAGGTGCTGGCATCGCTGGAAGAGGACGCAACAGGAACTACTCGCCTATGCAAAAACACTTGGATTCTCGAGGACTTTAAAATCACATGCGTGTCCCCGTTGAGGGCCGTGCTTGGATTTATAAAGAGGTAGTCAAAGGAATTTGATGACCCCTGTATAACGAAGACACTCTATTATTAGGGTAAGATGGCGATCTCACACTTGCATCCCAGTAATATTTCGTAATTTGTAATTTTTGTATGTAATTGTATTCTGAATGCGTAAGTTGTGTTCTAATTTTCCTCGAATAGGCTAACATCTATTTTTCGCGATCGGTTCGTTTAACGCGTCGTGCGCAATGTGGCGGCGGCACTCGGTCTACTGGACGGGAGAAGGGCTGCGTTTCTGCCTGGAATCCGTGCGTAATAAGCTTCGTCCAAAGTTAAAAAAAAAATAATTTGTTCGATTTTAATGTAAAACTTTTTATTTAAACATCTTAACAAATGGCAGCAACATACACATTGAATATTATTTTTGTTTTTAACGGATGGATACTTAAATAACTACAAAAATGCTCCATTTCCACATTGCAGTACATTAAAACATACGCTGCAAACCCTGACTGGCTTATTTATTCCGAATTTAATAATAGGCACATCGTTGCTGGAACACTTTGAGCACAAGACGCGTCCACAATGCCGACTTAAAAAAAAAATCGAATGAGTGAAAATATAGCAAGATTTGGTTAGTCAATTAAGTTTTAAAATACTTACCAATGGTGTTTTCGCATTGTAATAGAAAACTTTGTGGTACATTCTTGGCACAAGTCGGACTCTGCCCACGGACTCTCCTGTGGCAGTTGGTCCAACAACTTATGGAGAAGTTGATCTGTGGCAAGTTTGAAATTAAAAATATTAATTCCTTCCCTATTTTCAGTACCCAAACATGCCCCAGCTTTTACAAGGACTTTGCAAAGAGGTGCCTGGCCACGCATGAAGGAAAGCAGTAACGGCGTATTACCATCCATGTCAGGAGTGTTGATGGGATACTTTGGCATACATTCAAAAAACAGCTCACAAATGGCCGCCGCAGTGTTGTCCTCTACCACACGGCACAGTTCATGCATCGGATTGCGCCCTTTTAAATTTGTTGCCTCAGCGTTTACCCTAGACTCCGTCAAAAGCTCACGGACAATTGAAAGCTGACCACCGCGCACCGCCAGGTGCAAGGCATTGTTACCTTCGGCATCAGGTGCATCGTAGTCTGCACTGTTTTGGATCAATGCAGACACAGCTGAAATATTTCCCCGCTCAATTGCAATGTGCAGCGGTATCTTTTGAACAGCATCCCGCTCGTTTATACGGGCACCAGCTAAAAGTAAATTCCGAGTGATCATTTCGTTTTCGGAAGCAGCTGCCAGATGCAAGGGTGTAGATTGGTTGGCATCGTGCACACGTGAATTGACATCTACCTGTATAGCTAGCAAAAACAAAACGCTTTCTAAATCATCTTTCATGATTGCTAAATGCAAAAAGTTGCGCCCACGCTGATCCATTTGCTCCGCCGCAGTAGGAAGTCGATCTAATATGCGCTGTGCGGCCTTGTGGTTGCGTATGGCCAAAGCGGATGCGAAAGGTGTGTTTCCAGATATATCACGTAACTTTAGATCTATACCAGGGTGACAAAGAAGAATTGTTATTATCTCTTCGTGTTGGTTTTCAATCGATATGTGAAGAGGCGTCTTTTTCTCAGCATCCAGTACGTTTACATTAGCTCCATGATCAATTAGAGTCTGAAGTACTTTGGTTAGACCCCATTGACAACAGAGATGCAATGGAGATGCTTTTTCTCGAACCTCGTCTCCACCTTCGCCATTCGGGCCTGGTTGACGGGCAGAGTCCAGGTCACATTGGCTGCGAATAAGAAATACCGCAATAGACTCTTTATTCTCATCTATTGCGCGATGTAGGAGCGTCTGCTGGCATCCATCAGGACCTTCGCTCCAACAGTCTGTATCAACACCATGCCGCACAAGTACCTGTGCAACTTCCTCGAATTCTAATTCCAAAGCAGTCCACAATGGCGCATCCCCTTTGCCATCGGCGGCATTGAGTGCAACTCCCCGTGCGCACAGCGCATCCACAACTTTTGGGAGGTTTTTTTTAATGGATAACTGCAACGCGGAATCCTTTTTACCTAGAGATGGGATCAAATATAAAAGTAAAATAATTTAAAGCCGTTTGAATGTTTTCTGTTTTACCTGCCACCGCGTTTATATCTGCACCATTCTCTATTAAAAATAGGGCCGTGTCACTATCGCTGTTGAGTATTGATTGATGCAACAGGGTAAAGTCGTCTCTATTTCTTGCGTTTACATCCGCGCCTCCTTTTATAAGAATGGAGACCAGATGTGTTTTATTCAGAGATAAGCATAGACTAAGCGGCGTGTCGCCATTTATATCTTTGCAGTTGAAATCAGGAACTTCTGTTCCATTGACTTCCACCTGAGCAAAAGCTTCTATTGCACCAACGGCATTTGCTTCGACTGCCATATGTAGAGCTGATTTCATTCCGGTTTCAGTTGTTTGCAAATTACACGGTGCACCATTTGTAAGCAATTTTTTTACTAGGTTGGACATATTTTGGCTGGCTGCAATGTGTAAAGCAGATAGTCCAGTAAAGTTTAAGTGGTCGAGATTAGCAAAGTCTGCCAAAAATATGGCGGCTTCCTCGAAGCGTTGGCCACCAATAGCGAGTATCTGAAGCAGGCTGTCTCCAGTTGCAGATTTAATAGGGTTTGGACGTGCGCCCATTTTGAGCAGTTTGTGAGCCAACTTGTAATCTACGTCATCTAACGTCAAACATAGTTCAAGTGCGCACTTTTCATCGAAAGTGCACATGTTAATGTCGATATTAGGCACATCAAGTAGTTGACTTAGCATTATGGTATTTTGGCTTGCGATCGCAACGTGCAAAGGTGTTTCGCCCCGAACATTTTGAATGTTAACGTTAGCTTTGCGCTGTAAAATGTTTTTCCCCAGTTCATTTATTTGTTCGAATGTCTCGCGGTCTGTCTGACTCTCAACGTAACTGCATATGATATGAAGCACGGTATCTGCAGAAGGTCTAAAATAACAAAAGTTTTCAACCCTTTATAGTTATTGCATATGATAGAGCTGAATTTTTTACCTGGATATAAGATCTAAAATACAATTTTGATCCAAAAGAAATTTCGCTGAAAAAACATCGCCTTTTTTTAAAGCATCAATTAGTAGCGTGGATCCCTGTTGAAATGTATATTTACTTGAAGAAAAGTAGTTTTTTGTATTTTATGCCTACCTTGGCATCATACGCATTAACATTGGCCCTTCCGTTTTTCACAAGTGTTTGAGCTATCTGGGAATTTTTCGCCGATAGGGCCATTTGAAGCGGCAGTTGCCCTTGCTCAGACAAACTGTTTACCAACTCTGGTAGCTAAAAAATTACGAACAAGACACAAATTAGAAAATCGATATCACTGTAAGAACAATTGTATTAACATGTTGGATACTTTCATTACATGTACAAATGTACAAACATAGATTAATTTTTAATTTAAAATGTTTATTTCTAATTGCCCTTTTTGGGAAGACAAATGAAAAAGACAAAAGCTACTCCAACGGGAACTATTAGATTCTCGGAAAATATACCTTTAAAATTACGTAATATATTTAATTCGTGTGTATGTATGTAAGGTACATATATTTGTGATCACCGTTAGTTCCGTGGCAGACTCCACTGCCTCACAGACTCTCACTCTTTCTTATAAACGGAGGAGCTAATCAGTGAATGGTTGACATGTCTAGCATTTACCTAAAGAATGCGCATCAACTCTCTTTCTTTCTCACTCTTGATAAATCGTGTTCCATCGGGGCCATTTGTTTTGTTTCTTAAGCAAGTGAGACGTTAGTTGGCGCACGGGAGAACTAATGAAAGCAATTAAAATTCAACTTAAAATTTAACGTTTTCTACCAACAAAAATTGACTCAATTAAGCAGGCTCCGGTGTTCGCTTACTTTTGCGGATTACGTTTTCATCCAATACGTTTCGTTTTTGTTTTTAGGTGCTACCGTTTCCACAAATTTTCGGTATCGATCTGTTTCATTTTCTCATCGATTCTGGCAAACAAAAATAGCTGACCTGGTTGCTTTAAAAATATAACGTTATAAAAATCAATTTAAATTTTAAATTTAAAATACTAACGAACTGTTACTAACATGCATATTGAAAATTAGATTGCTAATGGTCAAAAAATTAATTTTTTTGCACTTAAATTTGGAACTAAATGTGGCGGGAAACAGGTGTCTTTAACCACATTTTCTGCTACTCGAATGTTACGAGACAGTCTGTGCTATTATGCGCAAAAATGTATTTCTTGCCAACGTATCGATAGGCAAAACGGACTGCGTCAGCTGTTTGCAAGAATCCGAAAAATGTTGTTGCCCTGACCAATTATTTTCGACCCAAATGTGAGGTTGGGTTAAGACAAAATTACTTAGGCATTATAAGACCCAAGCTAATTTGCCCTTGTAATGTTGTCGAATTCCCTTAGCAATTAAGATTCGTTTTGTTGTATAAAAAGCCGTTTACTTTTCATTTCTTCGGGGAAAATATTTTCGTTTTTTAAACGATGAAATCTTTGGGAATGTGAAAACGGGGCACCAATTTCTGTGATATCAAAGGTAAATCGGAAAATTTTTGTGAAAGTGAAAACCGGAGTCTTGCTGCATTCCTTGATTCAATATTAAAGGAACTCCTGTGTATGTTATTAAAATAACAACGAAATATTGTTTTAAGTCTCTCACCCCTTTTTCGATACATACATACATATGTACATACTATAATACCACAGCATTTGCTCGATCTACTTCGTGTATTCTTTCATTACTGCACTGCTTTACATTCTTTTTTTCTTCTTCTATCCCCAACGCGCTGCAAAACAGCAAATAAAGAGCACTTTTTTTTGTTGTCTCTACATATTTAAAAGCAAGCAAAAAAAATGTTTGACATTCAACTGTATTGAAAAATCATTCAATTGTTGCCTCTTCGTTCAAATGTTGTGCGTCTTACGTGAGCGCACTCACTGCCATTCGTGCAGACCTCTAGTCCGTACATGAACATACATACATATGTATGTGATTTTATGTACGGCCTTACGAAGTTTTAATACGTATGTAAACATGCATGTAGATGCTAGTATGAATGTATTTATTTATTAATATTGTTTATAATAACTCGCAAATAATAAATATGTATAAATATATTGAATACAAGTATATGTACATAGGTGTTTGCACCGATTCATCTAAATGTACATACATATGTATGTATGTATTTACTTTTTACTTATGTACGAAAGCATGGAAGCTCTACGCATAAAACTTAAACTAAAGATGGGCGGATCAGCTGTGCTTTAGAAACACTAACCAACATGGTTATTTATCGAGAGCTTCCGAACACGCACGAGCTGGAACATCCCATATTTTGCATAGATATGTACATATGTAGATGCACATCTGTGCTATTTTTAGTTATTTGTAAAATTGTAATCTATGATTAATCTTAAGTTACAATCTATAGTTACTGCCAGAGCGACATGACGTTCAAACTTTCATTTTCTAATTCATAAATGTTTAAAATGTTACGCGAATGATATTTATCGATAGCATGATATGTTTAGACTCTTTTTCATGTTTTTGTTGTTGCTCTCGAAATTGAGTATATCAGGCGTGGAGTTTACAGCCGGTCCCTGACCATCTCTAGTTTAACATGTCGATCGATATATGTATCTAAGTATGTACATATGAACGAAAATTTCATCGCTGTTTAAATTCTATTGAGCACAGCAGGGGCGGCTAGTATGTTTAGTTACAAGTGAAGTAACGAGTGCCTCGCAGTTTCTGCCACTTGCTCTGTTTTGCATAGAATAAACCGTACATGAATAAATACATATGTACGCTTTTGGGGTAAGATATGTTTTTTAATTTAAATTTATTTTGTTGATACCTAAACATGTATCGAAGGTGGCATATGTGCGAATGTATGTACAAATGTATAGAAATCACAGCAGCGCGGAGCTAATTCCATGCATACATACCTTGTATGTATGTGTGTGTGAGTATTTGGCTCATGGCCACTTTCGCCCATTACCAGCGAACTGGTATCTGACCAAATGTGAATGTGCGTACAAAAGGAAATGATGTACATGCATGCATACATATGCACACATTTACATACGTAAAAATATGCAGTAAACTTTTACACTTTCGATTTCTAAACTCTAGTTCAATTGTTACGCGCGGGAGCCTTGGCAGCAACACTGAGATACAATAATGGCATGCAGTCCTCAATCCGGTAGCAGAGGCTACATATTAAACGGAGTATTTTCATTTTTCGTTGCAGTAACGTTGGGTTTGTATAATTGGTGGACAAATAATTAATTTAAGTTCCTCCCTATGTTTAAAGGTTTCAAGTAATAATTCCAGAAATTATTGTAGTCCTTTTGTACATATGTATGTATGTATGTACATATATGACCAGTATCAACAGCTGAGTTGATACCATATCCGTCAGTTTTTTCTATAATGCTTCTCCCTGATGTGCGCAGTAGAAAAGTATGATCGCCTTATCATAATAGCATAAGTATGTACATATGTAAATAGGTATGTAATTGCCACACATAGTTATGGCTGTGTGAAATGTCTGTGTCGATGACCGATCCGACTTCCTTACATATGTAGTACATATTACATACAAGTTATCTCTATGTCAACGGATATTCGACAATATTACTATACTATGGTAGAATGCACTTAAAGATAACACTTTGAGCCCTGCATAAATTCACAATGTCGTGCAAAACAAAAAACTTATTGTAGGCGAAAGCAGTGAGTGATTAAAAAGTGCTCATCAACAGAGAAATATTTACATACAAATTTCCCAAGAATTAAAAAAAAAAACAAAAAACAACAAATACTTATATACGGAATATAAGTTTCCTCTTACTTGAATTTATTTCATGTGCACTAAGCAGAAAACAATTTTTTGGAACGTGGATGGCGCGAACTTGTTTAGCAATCCTCTTATTTAGTTGTACTAAAACTAAACTAAACATTTTGCTATGACCTTCATTGAGATCAAATCTCGATGGTCAGAACGAGAATTTTTCTCTCTTGAGACGACTGCTTGCTTCTGATAAACTGACTCAAGAATATCCGCAATTTTGATAATGGAACTTGTTTTCGTGACTGCGTGGAAAAATGATCTTTTTACTGATAAATAAAGCGGATGTAGAGAAATTAAGAAGTATTTAATAGTCTGGTTAAGCCAAATATGCTATATATAAACATGGACAACTTATTTTATTACTGCAATACGCACCCCAGGAGATAGCCTTTTAAATTTAAATGTGCATGCAATATTCCAGAAGATGTATATTTTAATGCATCTTTCCTATTAAAACCAGAAAACCTTTTTTAACTTTCAGGAAAAGGTTCAGTAGCTGATATCCTACAATGTTATAAGTGCTCCGTAACTATAGAAAAATACGTCGTAGAAAACCGAACAATTACGACCCCCTTGTGCTCGAAATTTGAGGAGAACGCCGGTTACACGACCCCCTGCCCATACTCAACAATGTGCTTGAAAACAATTTCAATTTTACACTTGCAGAATGGTCAAAAGCAAGAAGCTGTGACAAGAGGATGTGCCCAGCAAAAGAATACCACTCAGGTTTGAACTGTTATAGACAAAACGCGATATTTGTGATTGAATATTCAATGTTAATACTCTGTTCTTTTCTTAGATATTCCGCAATAAACAGTGGGAACAAGAGCATCTAGTCCAGGAAGTGTACGATGAAGGATGCACAGAAGTAAAGGACAATCACTTGGCGGGATCAGCAAAAGTACACTGTTACTGCCGCGGAGAACTATGCAACAAATCAAGTCTGCCTCGCATTGACCCAAATATGGGGATCCTGATTGTTTTGCTTCAAGCCTTGTGGCTCATGCATTCTCCAAGTACCTAATCCTGCCGAGTGAAATTATAATCAATATATTAAAATGCTTTATTGTGATAAATGATTAAATATGCAAATTTAACATACGAGTAAATGTTGCATAGTTCGTTAAAGTACTCAGTAAAATTGGTTCTATTAAATACTGTATAAAAACGAATGCTACCACATGGTTCAATATATTCTTAGCTGAAACTAAGCGCTAACAATAGCGATGCAACTATAAGAACTGTAGTCTTATGCTCGCCTTGGTTATTGTGTACTGAAACTACGGACAGAACAGGCTCACATCCGCACACATAAACCCAAAACCAAATGCTTTACCGACTAAAAACATCCCATAAAAAACAGCTACCTGATACCAAAACATAAATGGATTTTCACCCGTTAACTCTTCCTTCAAACACTTTAGTCTGTCGAAACTAACTCTCAATGGGAGGCAATAAATACCACGCAAAGCTTACCAATGGCCACTTAATGGACAAATCACTTCCCAACAGATATCCATTGTTCAACATCTCGTGATTAGGGTCAAAGATCTACATTCTCTAGCAATACCTAGAAAAAGCACAGTTCATTCAAAGAACAAACAAAAATTAAACAACTACTGAAGTTCAATAAGTAGCCGAACTATTATTGAATATTATAAAGAAACCAATTGTTTTGTAGTCCAATGTTCTCTTAAAATTTCAAAATTCTTGTGATAAATGGTTTTTAAGTCTCACCAGAAAAACTCGTCAGACTTAATTACTCGATTTATAGTTTTTGGCTTGGTGAATTTCTTTTAGTTTTGGGAAATGCCAAAAAAGTAATACGAAATAAAATTCTTCAGTTTAGTCGTTTTTTTCATGGATTTTGGAGCGCGTTGTCCTAATAAAACAACTAAAACGCTACGCATCGCGCAAAAACTTTTTATGCTCAATTGATCGTGTTTTGAAGTAAAATCGTATTGATATTTTTCTGGTCTCTGCTATCTCAAGCCCTTATATTTTTCGATTGACAAAAATAATTTTCTGCATGTTTTTTGTGTGTTCTCTGAGGTAACTGCCTCATTTGAACGATTTGAAAAGCTCAGCACACTGAGCTTCCGTCTCATTGATCAAGTCACTTTAAGGCTTAAACGATAATTATACCCGATACACATTCTGGACCAGAAGGATACTAACAACCAGAAGGAAGCGTTTCCGACCCCATAAAGTACTCATCTTCTTGATCAGCATAAAAAGCCGAGTGGATATAGTCATGTCTGTCTTTATGAGCGCTTAGATCTGGGAGACTATAAGAGCTACAGCAACCAAATGTTGTACCCATTTTTCGGTGACATCACACTGTTACCAGTGTGTGTTCAAAGTTCCGCAAAGGACGAAAATCTGTGACACGCACAATTTCGAAGATACGAAAAAACGCAGAATCATAGAGAATGACGTAATCCAGCATACTGTCAAATCTGGATCAGATCGAATCATTATTAAAGTCAGAAGGAACAAATGAAATCGCATTCCCTCTCTTTCACACACTATTCCTGGTGCGGTGTGGTTCCTCTGGCGGAGGGCAGCCATACTGACTCAGTATCGGATATAAAAGTAGAGTCGCGGCCATAGCTGCGACCAACAACGTTCATGCTCGTTTTTAACTTTAAAAGGTTTTGAATCAACATCAAAATTTAGTTTTAAATGGCTGCTACAATTTTTTAGAATAAATAAATTAGAATGTAACAGTAAAAATTAAATAAGTCTATGATTTTTGTTACAAAATTAGCAATTGGTTTAAGTACATATGTATATACATGCCAACAAAAAGGGGCGCAAGTTAACAAAACTTTATGAGGTCAGGCGAGAGCCATGATCGAGCTAGAACTAGAATTAATTGAACACACTCAACGCAAATGCAAGTTTCTTTTCGAACTAATAGAAGCCTTTAGTTAGGGTAGCCCAATATAAACATTTAGTTTAACGATGAAGAAATTTCCCATGCCAGCTATATGCTAAAGAAGTCCGAATTTAATCAAATCTTACTGTGTTGTGTAAAAGTTGTGTAAAAATCGTTTCAAGGGAAGCTTTATGATATAAGGGATAATCTGATAATTTGGGACGTGGGCACAGGTCCCTGCCGGCTCGGGTTAGATCAGTTTCTTCTGTTTTCTTTCAATTTGTTCTGTGCAGAAAACCAATGGAAAAGGTCCCCAAAGCAAGAGATTTTGGAGAGACCCATTTACATATGGTATGTATGTACAAAATTTAAAGCGATTCGGAGAAAATATAATTTAAATGTACATATCTACGTGTATACCAGTCATATGAAGGTACTGATCTAACAGGTTCAGGTTTTCCCACTCTCATTTTTTAACATAGGTTTTAAATACACTTACTGCGTCATCATTCTCCACAAGACATAGGAACACGACGTCTTCCCTCAGGAGTCTCACTGCAGCATGTAGTGGATATTTGGTTTTATTCTTAAGCATTTTAAACAGTAGTGGTCCAGACATATGTTCAAAGTCTTGGGCTGTTAGGTCATCCCAGTGTGTTGATATAATGCCGGAACAATATTCTAGGAGCGTTGAGGCTGCCACTTCTTCGGCCACACAATAAAATCGTACGCAAGATCTCACTCCAACCGAAGCTACTAGTGCTCGCTCACACAGGCCTAAAAGGGCAGGTAACCCAAATCTATGCGCAGCTTTAAGTAGATCTAATGCCAATCGGTCGTGCTGTAAATCAATTAAATCTGTATAAATCCAACGCAACAGAGCCATGACAACATCCTCATCTAGATCGCTCCAGTCGAGCTCTTGAGTGCTGCCCAATACATCGTCGCGCCATTTCTCAGATCGTGCATGGAGGACAAACTTATGTGCTGGAACTGTTTTTGCGCTTGTTCGGATGTTAACATCCGAATAGGTTGTACGCCCATACAATGAAGCCACTGTCAATGCTAGTCTGGAGACAAAACTACTGAGCTCTCCAGTGAGCTCTGCATCCGCTGATGAGGCAACAACTTCGTTAAACTTTCGTTCTAGTTCCGCATAACTACGCTGCAACTTTGTATATTCTTCCTTTAATAACGCCAAGTGGTTTTCCAGCTTTTGAACGGACGCTGCGTCGTTGCAACCTGTAAGTATGAATTCAAGTAACTTAAAGAACGTACATATAACAATTCTTAATAACAAAAATGAATACATAGATATTTTTTTTTACAAAAACATACAAACGTACAAGCTAAGCTACATCCATGCATATGTATGTAAAACAAATAAATAAAACAATTGATAGTACGTAAATATGTACAAACACCAGAAACTAAAATCAATTTCTACCTATTTGCAAAACATACCCATTTTATATAGAATTCTTTTTCTTCCAAATGAATAGTCAAATTTTATTTTATAAAAACGCTGTGCATTTAATATGAGGCGTAGACGGCTGTTTTTGTTATCGCTGGAATAGCAGCTGTGTTCGACTCACATTAGAACTAGTTCTTTTTGAACTAGTTATTTTCATTTAAAATGCCCATTTTGCTTCAAAACAAGCTACAGCTTTAAAATACCCACTTTTTAATTTAGTTTATATGTATATTAATAGCTATATAATGGCTTTATATATATATTAATGGCCTTCGCCATGCAACAGGCGCGACGGTCCCAGCCACTCGATGTATTGAGATGCTAATAATGATTAAATGTAGATTAAGTAAGCAATCTATAGTAATTTTTTGAACGAAATCTGGATTCAGATGACCAGCTGACCCTCAAAATCCAAAGAAATTACTAGATTTGTTTCCAACATAAATTTTAAGATAGATTTTTACAAACTATAACTTAAACGCCGCTTTATTACGAATCTAAATATGTTTAGATATATAAATGGAGTAAAAATTTATTGTTTTACACAACTTTAGAACGGCTGGGCCCATTTGGCTCAAATTTCAGTAGTTCGTATTTGCTAGAAAATATTGGAAAAAAATACCCGCGATCGCGAACAAAATTAATTTTTTTCTCTTATGGAAAAAGATCTTAGCCGTACTTTCACATAAATTGGTGCTCCCGTTTTCACAATCTAAAAGATTTCTCTGAGATGAGATATAATTGGCTTTTTATACAACAAAATTAATCTTAATTGCATAAAGAAAAATATAGATGACCGCGCACTTTCTGCCGTCATTTGGCTTTAAAACAAGTATTTAAAAAATAAAGACTTATACCGCTGTTTTTAACGTTTGGCCGAAAACGTAAAACAAAACCCGGAGCCTCCCTGAAACAATCAATTGAGAGAGTTTATCTGAGGGCGTTAAATTGAGGCAAGACAATCATGAGAAAAATTACCATAACATACCATAAACAAAATTTGTTTAAAATATTTTTAGCCCCAAGTCCCTCTTATAAATGGATTTTGTTGTCTTGTAGGTTATACAATAACAAAGACAATCACGATAGTGTAACTAATTTAGTAACTTTCAGAAAAAACGAGGCAAGACATCGCTGTTTTTAATTCGGATCCATTGCAGAAAGCTAATCAGTGGGACGGTCAGGCTGATGTCCAGGACTGATCGTGTTTTCAATCAAGTTTACTGGAGCCCACTCTTAAGTTTTCTGACATCCGTATCAGCTCCAAGCTGGGGAATACCCACCCATCCAAGTTACAACAACCATGCCAACAGGCTTACAACTTGGGAGATCGACCGATCTTGGGATGATGCTATTGGGCCCAAGCGACCGTCCTTAACTCAGTAGCTCAGTATTGATGGTCCTCGCACACAGTAAAAATATGTACATATGTAATACATGTAAGTCGGACAGTCACACAGATCGGATATTGACCTACACCATACAGCTGCCGTACCTATTACAAAGACCGATCGAAGAAGTTCGTCACTGTTTCTGGAATACCTCGGCTTCATAAAAATACCTATTTATCTGTAGTTATTCGTAGTCGGAAATATCCAAGTACATTTGTACGGTAGTAAAAGTTAAGAGAAATTTAAAAAAGAATGTAAAGCGCAAAAACAACGAATTCACGAGCTTCGTTTATTAAACTACTGATTTGTTAACAAATATTTTCAAAGAATAAGCTTTAGCTGTATTCATGTTTAATTACTTCAGCTTTGAGAACAGACTGTGTGCAACGCAGTGATCCAGTTCCGCAACATAGTCAAATAACTCTTCCATGCACGTCTCCGTGGTCTTGGATCGCCCGTTAACGCGATCATTGCACTCCTGGTATTTATTGTACAAGGACTCGATATGACCCTTTGATTGGCATTTTTCCTGATGTATTAAAAAAACCGTATATGTAATCGCATATGCAGTGCAAGAATTAACTCTTACCCTCAAGACTGCTTGGGGATCAACCAACTCCTCTTCATCGTCGGCCTTAACAACGGGCATTGTAAACAAACTTCTAAAGGCCATATTGTAGCTGTAATTGTTAAAAATGTCTGTAAATTCTATTGTAATTTTTTCATATACGTATGTAAGTAACACATAAACAAGATTGCAAGAAACTCAAATGAAAACCAGAAATATAACAGTGAAGACAAATATGGTCAATGAATTTTAAATCTATTTATATTATCCACTAAGTCACAAAACAACTTTAATATTAACCTTTTTCAGAAATTGTGAATACTTGAGTGATGCAACACGACGGACGATGACAGTGTGACCGCGGACTTATCGTTAAAATATACCTAAATACGTCACAAATTTCAAAATATACCGTAAATATACTGACGAATTCAAGTTCTATTCTACATATTCCAATTTTGATATTCCGTTGAATATTACTGGCTATCTAGAACTCTCAGCCCTGCCCAGATAATTTTATCCGATTCCATTCCATTCTATTTTAAATACTTGCTTTTATTGGATTTTGCGTAAACAAAAAAAAAATGATGCAACTAGACAATTTTTTTCCAAAGCAGCTCTGTGCCTATTATCTTGCTTTGTAGAAAAATAACAATGGTATCCCTGTAGAAGTTGTAACTCAAAACAATTACCCAACTAAAACTTTAGCCCTTCAGACCGTGATGCATTGCTTGCACGATTGTAGTGAAAAATGATTGAAATAGACTTATTTTAACTGAATAACATAATATATTTGATTGTTTCAAATGAACTTCAAATCATTTGATGCAAAAATATACTGTTCAGCTCAAGTTCTAAAGCGAAATGCATACTTATTAGGTGTCCCTAAAACCGGTGACGAATGTTTAAATTTCAATTAGCCAGGTTCCGGTTTTTACTTTCACAAAAATTCACCGTTTTAGTGCTCGCGTTTTCACATAACGCAAGATATCTTCGTGTTTTAAAACGTAAGAACTGTACAAATTTTCGTCGACGAAATGAAAAGAAAAGATTTTTTTATACAATAAAACCAGTCTTTATTGAAAAAAGGAAAAGAAATAGATGAATATTGATGCATTAACATAAATTTGACACCATTACCAGACCAATTTAGCATTTGCCCTCTTTATAAACTGGTCAGGACAATAACACTTTAACACGAATTAATCAATTGAGTAATTTTCTTGACTAATGCCTGCTATTAGACGATCAAACGTTTCATCGTTCTAGCCCCTTGTTGGCTCCGCGTATTCGAAGGGGGTTCTCTTGAGAGAATTACTCTGGTGGATGATCTTGGTGTTGTATTAGATGCCTAGTTAAGCTTCTCTGAACACATTTCTACCATGGTAAATAAGGCCATGGGCGTGCTTGGCTTTATAAAGAGGTGGTCAAAAGAATTTGACGACCCCACTAACAAAGACTCTATACCTCGCTAGTTTGTCCGATCTTAAAATACAGCTCCTGTGTATAGTGAATTTAGTACAAAGTACTCAGCCGGGATGCGGCTGAGGGACTGCCGTCTTACTCTAGTAGACTGCTATTAGTAAATCTCCCATCCTTTGTTAACCGTAGAAAAATGCTTGGTGTGTCTCATGCTCGGACTATAATTCCTTCAACTATATTACATCCACCACTTATTACCTTCCCCTTATGAATTTACTAATCCTCTTATACATTTCTCGTAACTAGTAATTTTAGTGGTATTTGTATTTTATTTGCATGCTTAGTTTTTTAGTAAGTTTAGTACTAATTTTCCTCGCATATTAGTCTAACTGCTATCTTTCCTGCATGTTCGCGCTCGGTTCTGCTAACGCAAGCGTCATGCGGCAGCGCCCCTCGGTCAGTTGGGCGGGAGGACGGGCTGCGTTTTGCCTGGGTTCTGCGCGTAACAACCTTCTTCTGGTGCTGAAATTGCATCGCCACTTGAAAGATGCAGTCATTGTATATCAACGTCCAGATACAAAAAAAAAAATTAGACAGAATGTCTGGTGTAACCTAATGCAAGACGAACGTGCAGAAGAAATTGAAAGGAGAAGGCACATCTTACACAAGTACGCTCATTGAAGTTTCAGCCAAATCGATCACGAAACCGAAAAGTGTTGTTGCTCTGACCAATTATATCCGAGCCAAAAATATATTCATATTCATTGACTAAATTGATTTTGATAATGCATCAAAATGTCATTTAGCAATAAGAAAAGTTTTGTTATAACAACGCCGTTGAAACGGAGAACTCTTGCTTTTAGTGAAAAGGGGAGCACCAATTTGTGTGATTTCCAAAGTAAATCGGAAAAGTTTTGCGCCTGATAGATTAGCTATAAAACGTAAAATTAAACACAGTTGATTTTGTCTTTTGATGGTGTGTGCATATTACTTCCTAAGAATGTAAGAAAGTATATCCATGTACAAATTTTATGGCATTCTTTGTAATTAAAACCAAGTTGTCTTGCATGAGCTGATTTAAATTGTTTAAATGTTGTTGATATATGGTCTCACAGTTTTCAAGTGTAGTGAAGTTAAGTCAAGTGTACATTTGTGACAACATACATCGATAAAACACGGTTGCATCCCTACGAGTACGAGGCCTCGTTTTCTGTGTATTTTTGCTTCGCATTTTATATTTTGAGTATTGTGCTGTTTAAGGATTTTCACAATTTGCTTAACCGATTGAGAACCAAGTAAAGAAAAAAGGACCTGCTATGCACAATTCCTTCAGAGAATAAAAAGAGCTATTTGAATGAAAAAAACACAATAAAACTGTGGAGCCTGCTATTCACCCTTTTCATAATTTTACAGACACGAACTGAAGCCGAGAGCCCGTAGGAAAGTAAAGCTGGCGCCTGCCGCGTTCTCAGCTGAGGCAATCCGACAGATCAGATACATTTGTGTGGTATGTTTTGTTATTTTGTTTGAAAACCATAACATTGCATTATTAACGAAAATGTTACGTGTTGACTCTGCTAAAAATATCGTATAATATTTTAGGAAGGTTCTGTGAACGTGGCGAGCGGCTATGTCCATAAAGACGGGCGACAGCGGTTCCAGCAACGGATATTTACGGACAATGCCCGAAAGCACGCGTTCGCTTATAAACGGCTCTGAATCGTTGGCTAACCAGACTCACTGTTTGATGCAAATGCAGAGCGACCGCGACATCAACACCTCCAACACGAGCAGTAACAATGCACTGGGCATATCGCAAACCAAAATGCACCGAAATTTTAAGCTACTAGCTGACCCGCAGCTAGTGAAATGTGGCGCCAAACTATATCGTTACGATGGCGTCGTACCGGGCGATCCTATATTTCCAACAATAACACCCAGGGATCCACGCAACCCTCTTATTCGCATTCGCACCAGACCCGTAGAGCCGCTGCTGTTGCTTATACCTAGGTAAGTTTTAAGAAGGCGCCTAGCTTCCAGGCAGAAACTAAGACTATATGCAGATTTGTGATCGATGCGGACTACGTGGGCACGCCACCTGCCATTGAAGTAACTGTGGTGAACCTAAACGACAACATCGATAAGCAGTTTCTCTCCAGCCTATTGGACAAGTGTGGAACATCAGACGAAATAAACATATACCATCATCCCACAACAAACAAGCACTTGGGTATTGCTCGTATTGTGTTTGAGAGCACGAAGGGTGCACGGCAGTTCGTTGAGAAGTACAATCAAAAGTCGGTGATGGGAAAGGTATGGAGGCTGTTTTTTTGTTTTTGCATCAACTGTATGTACCTTTTTGTTGCAGATCTTAAATGTGTTTTGCGATCCTTTTGGGGCGATTTTAAGGAAACATATTGAGACTTTAACAAATCCAGTTGCGCCGAAGCCAGTGTTGGGTGCCACCACCACAAAAGCTCCACCACATCCGGGCACTGCAGTGGGCTCACAGCCCGACTTGGCTGACTATAGCCACGATTACAGTGAGAAAAGCGCTGTGGATAATTTAAATAGTGCATACAGCTCTTTTCCAAAGAACTCTGACATCGGAGAACGAAGCCGGGATCGCAACTGGGAGCGGGATCGTGAGCGAGAGCGTGATCGTGACCGAGATCGAGATCGATATTACAAGGACAGCAGTCAACATTCCGCAGAGAGATCCTATGATCGTGATCGGGCAATGCGAGACAAGTACGGATCCTCTTTACGCCATGATCGGCATTTTTATCGCCGGCGGTCTCGAGATAAAAGTCCAGATCCCTCTCGAGATAGTCGGGATAGACTGTTCACTGGACGAGAACGTGATAGGGCTAGAGACCCTGATGCCAGGTCGCGGGACTATCACCGTTCAAAGGAACGCGATTATTTTCGAGAGCGAAATAGATCCCGCGACCACTCCCGTGATCGTTCGAGGGAAAAGAGAGATCTTCGGTTTAGTGTATCAAAGGAGCGGGACTACAGAGAGCGAGATCGTGATCGGGATCGGGATCGGTCGCCCGACAGAGATCGAAGAGATCGTGTGAGTATAAAGTATAAAAAGCGTTTCACCAGTCATGAATACGCGGAAACGGATATACACAGCTCTTCGTCCTCAAAAACCCATCAATATTATACTGCCGCCTCAGCATCTGGCTTGCCTGCTGGGAGCTATGCCTACAGCAGCCACGCTTACTCCATGACGGACAGTACTCAGTCCTGGTCAGAGCATAAGAGTTGGAATGCTCCGCAGCCTGATTTCCAACCAAAGCCAAAGCCACCCCCACCTCCACCTCCAGAGGAAGAGGAGAACTGGGACGACCCACCAGTTCTCCCACAAAAATTTGAACAACAAACTGTTTCACTCTTGGAATCAGCGAGCACAAAACTCCAATCACCGAAGGCGGGCACAGCTGTTGCGGAGCCAAACGCAGAAACAGAAAATGTCGACTTGGACACTCGAATAGCCCTCATATTTAAGGGAAAGACATTCGGAAATGCACCCCCATTTCTTCAGATGGACAGTAGCGACTCAGAAACGGACAAGGCAAAGCCTGAGGGAGGGGTTGAGGCTAATGAAACTCGCTCGCTTTCCGATTCAAATAATTCGGATAACAAGAAAAAGTGCGACAAGAAGATATCAGAACTGCAACAACCGCATGGGGCAAGCGATATATCAAGTGATGACGATATAATGGTGAAGAATAAGAGATGTAAACCCGGTTTTACACAATGTGAAAAGGACGATGACAACATGTCTCTGTCGAGTTTGTCATCTCACGAGGAATCCCCCACTGCACTAGCCAATACGGCCGATCGCGGCAACAAGAAACCTTTATCACCATATATGTATCCCAATTCCTCCAACCAGCATCCCTATTATTATCATCCTTCAGACTACGGGCATTATCCCTCCGGCATCTCGTCAAACCCCGTGTTGACAAGCCGCTATTTTTCAAACCCCGCCTATATGCAACCGGCCTACTTGGCTGGTGTTGGCGCTTTCAACTTGGATCCCTATGTCCAGACATATGGCTACCAGTATCCCCCTTCCGACCAGAACGACGAGATAAAAGAGAACGTGAAAAAGGTTATTAACTACATTGTAGAGGAGCTAAAGCAGATCTTAAAGCGCGATGTGAACAAGCGCATGATTGAGATAACCGCCTTTAAGAACTTTGAATCTTGGTGGGATGAACACACATTGAAGGCACGGTCCAAACCGTTGCCCGATTCGGTGGAGGGCATCACCAACTTAAGACAGAGTAGCGCGAACGCCAATTTGATGAAGGAAAATGCTGACTGTGAGAAGCCTCCCAACATGAATCAACTTACCAATACTCAAGTGGAAATGTCCGATTTTAAAAGCTTTTCAAGCATAGGCATAAGGGCAGCAATGCCCAAATTGCCATCATTTCGACGCATTTGCAAACATCCTAGTCCTATACCCAATCAAAGGATATCACTCGAAAGAGATCTGAGCGACCAAGAAGAAATGGTGCAACGTTCCGACTCTGAGAAAGAGGACTCGAATATGGGCGGCTTTGAGGCACCAGGATCGAATGCAAAGGACCGGGTATTGGATAGAGAAATGGCGACTATTCGACTGCCGTCACCTGAAATGCTTTCAAAACGAAAGGGAAGCGCGTCGAGCTTCTTTTCATCGTCCTCATCCTCTTCTAGCGAAGCAGAAAATGAAGTCAACGACGCTGCTGATGGTACAGAAAAGGAAAAAAGCAGCGATGATGATAGCTTTGACGACGATCATCCACCTAGAAATCTTAATCGAAAAAGCAGACTGATTAAGAAGAATAGGCGTGTGGCATTCAAGGAACCTGGAGATGATAATATTGAGAACATATATTCAGACTCTGAGGACGAGAAAAGGCACACAGATCGAATGCATGTTCAAAAACGGGGTCGAACGAAAAAGAAAAATATCTACTCCGACTCGGATGCCGACATTGAAAGTACTGCCGGAAGAGGTTTCTTGCCTGCGTTGCGAACAAAGGTAATTTCCACTATACCGTCTGATCTTGAGGACATTAGCAAAGACAGCAGCTTTGGATTGGACGAAGAGGACCCGGACGACAAAGTTGAAGCAGAACTAAAGACTATCCGAAAAATGGTGGATGAATCTCGACGATCTCTGACCCCTGTTCCACCGCCAGACTACAATGAAGAGCCAGTTGAGAAGTACGATGATACTGATCTCCGCAAGCCAGTTTATGAATACGATCGCATTTACAGCGACTCGGATGAAGAACGCGAGTATCAGGAAAAGAGACGTAGAAATACCGAGTACATGGCTCAGATAGAGCGCGAGTTTTTGGAAGAACAGCAGAAGAATAACCAAAACTCTTTCTCGGAAGGTCGTTCAATTTCGGAGCGTAAATTAGAAATTGTAAAGAAACCTAGTGGGGATATGGCAGATACTGTGGATGTTCCAGAGGTTCCACTGACCCCCGGCATTAACATTCTAGCTGAACTTGTAGATGAGATTAATAAACCGATTCTGGAAACTAACATCGAACAAAATGCAAGCAAAATTGCAGAAATTGATGGAAAATTGAAGAGTAATCTCAACAGCTCAGATGTGGTTGAGGCAACAACGATTTTAAACGGAGATGTTCAATCGTTCTCCAACACAAACACAAGCAAAAAGGGAACACAATCACCGGCTTCTTCAGATGGAGGCTCCAGCCAAGCGTCGCAAGCAAGTCAAGTAGCTCTCGAGCACTGCTACTCCTTGCCGCCACATGCGCAGTCTGCTTCCTTCACAGACGCCACCTCAGGTCGGCTTGGACTGGATGCCCAGAATAAGAATAGATTTGATGGACAGGAAAATGTGGCTGGTGGTAGCCAAATGCAAAGGCCAGGCCCAGGAAGACCGCGCAAGGATTCAACGCGACTGCAGAAGAAAAAGAAGGACTCAGTCCCTCGGCAGTCAAACGCAAAGAATAAAGTCGCTCCTATTACTGATGCATTGGCTGAACTGGCCCGTCAAACGGCCAACTTTGTTCCCTACGAGATGTACAAAGCTCGCGATCAAAACGAGGAAATGGTTATTTTGTACACTTTTTTAACGAAAGGTATCGACGCGGAGGACATCAAGTATATTAAGATGAGCTATATTGAGCATTTGCAGAAGGAGCCTTATGCGTAAGCTATTAATTTTATTTCGCTCAGGTATATTTTTGTTTAATCCGTAACCTTTTCTCTTCTCAGCATGTTCTTGAACAACACGCATTGGGTAGACCACTGCACAACAGATCGTGCATTTTGGCCACCGCCGCCGAAGAAGCGCAGAAAAGATGACGAATTGATGCGCCATAAGACAGGATGTGCTCGCACCGAAGGCTACTACAAGTTGGATGTACGAGAAAAGGCAAAGCACAAGTATCACCATGCAAAGGCCAACATAGATGATGCTGAAAATGAAGATCGTTGTGATGAGCCCACAGCACTCACGAATCACCACCATAACAAATTAATATCCAAAATGCAAGGCATTTCGCGAGAGGCGCGCTCCAACCAGCGACGACTTTTGACAGCCTTCGGATCTATGGGCGAATCAGAGCTTTTGAAATTTAACCAGCTCAAATTCCGAAAGAAACAACTCAAATTCGCAAAATCAGCCATACACGATTGGGGACTGTTTGCGATGGAGCCTATAGCAGCAGACGAAATGGTAATTGAATATGTCGGACAAATGATTCGACCGGTGGTGGCCGATTTACGAGAGACAAAATATGAGGCAATTGGAATTGGCAGTTCCTATCTGTTTCGAATCGACATGGAAACCATTATCGATGCCACCAAATGTGGAAATTTGGCCCGATTTATTAACCACAGCTGCAATGTAAGTATCGCTTGTTCTGTTCTTTTCTGCAATTACGAACACAAAATAATATACACACATTATTTCTCCAACTTTTAATTGCAGCCGAACTGCTATGCAAAAGTCATTACAATAGAGTCTGAAAAAAAGATAGTCATATATTCAAAGCAACCTATTGGGGTCAATGAGGAAATAACATACGATTATAAATTTCCTTTGGAGGATGAAAAAATTCCATGTCTGTGTGGCGCTCAAGGCTGCCGGGGCACGCTCAACTAAAGATGACATACATAATTTTAGGCTTCAGAAGAGTCTATGTTGGGTTGTTCTATTCACACATGTAAATTAGGTTGATATTCAATATCCGAAGTAGATGTATATGTATGTACATATAAACATAACTTATTTGCTTAATCTACCTACAAAGTAGACATTTAGAAGTAACTGCAGATACAGATTTTAAAGAACTACAAATTAATTATAGCTTGACCTAACTTGTAGATGTCGGCTTAGTTTTTATTTATATTTTCATTTTCCTGTGGTGAGTTTTCTTTCGCTAAAATGTTGCAAAAATAAATCAATTTATATTTTACTAAGCCATAAACTAAGAAATAAGTTAAGTCCTGCAATGTAAATACATCGCCGATGCTCGTCATCATTAGTATCCGTACATACAGATACATTTGTGACTATGTATACAGTTTACAAGCGAAATGCATTCAAGGTGTTATGCTGTTATGTGAATAAATTAAACGCATATGCAAAGCAAATATGATCTTCAAATATTTTTATTACTGGACTTGAGTGTTATTTGCATATCAAGTTGAGCTTGAGCAATGTTCTCCAGAGCAGACTGAATTTTCTCAAGCAAAAGCTCTCCTTTTTGAACCACTTTCTCAAGGTCAAGAGCGGTCTCTTGATTTTCCATTTCTAGCCTCTTGAGACTTGAGTTTTGGAGTTCAATCGAGCTGTCTTCATTTGGCAACGACTCAATCAATGTGTCAATATCTTTGGCGCATCGTGCAATTAGCTGTGCGAATAGCTGAGCATAGTCCTCCTGGGGCTGACTTGGGTTCGGCGTTTGTGACCCTGTGCGGTCGAAATTTCCAAATTTACTGGGATAAGATGTCTGTTGGATTACACCTATGGCGTTGCAAAAATGCTCGGCCTGCTGAACGTACAAATAAATACATTAATAAATACAATTGGGATAACTAAACTATAAAGCTTACTTGGTTTACGGTATCCTGTAGCTGCGTTAGCCTGTCTGCCATCGTTGCGTATGTTGCAACTTCTAAAAGTTTTTGTTTATATATTTTAGGAAAAACAATGGCAGCAGTGTGACCTCGGATTTATCGTTAAAATATACGGTCTCACCCTCCGAAATATACCTAAACTACGTCACAAATCTCTAAATATACCGTAAATATACTGACGAATTATTTGTATTCAAGTTGCATCACATTCCTCGCTTTGGATATTCCGTGGAATATAACTAGCTTTATATCTCTCATATAAGCCCCATGGAAGCGCCAGTGTGAAAACCTCCGTTATCCATTTTTTGACATGCCTTTTTTCTGACATTTTTTAAAAAATTGAGATTTTGATGGAAAATTATCAGCAATTCGATTCTGGTTACGAATTAGTATTCGATGTGGCCTGGGACATGGCTCTAAAAGGTATTTCTACACGGTTTTTACATTTTTGCATTGGACAAGAGGGTGAGTCCATAGCGCGTCTTAATATATACTGAAAAATACTGGAAAAAACTATGAAAAGTAAAAAAATTGCAAGGTGTATGAGTTAGACGTGGTGGCAAGAAAACAAGAAAATCCAATAAAGTATTTGGTCTGACGGTCTGGGATGTTTCTAAATCGCAGGTTTCTATGCGATATTTAGCCGATGGTTTTCAACTGCAACCCTAAAAAGCAATGAATGGCAATAAAAAAATAGTTCGCGCCTAAACATATTTCAAATCGTTATTGGAATTTTAAATCGTTGAAGACTAAATAAAGAAATACAACAGACACAGTACAAAATGGAGAGACTAGAAATTAATGGTATATAATAAGTAAACATATCTTTTTTTTTACGAATAGTCGATGTGGACTGCATAAATGGGAAATCCCGCCATAAACATTTGGCGAAGAGTACTGCGTATTTGCGGGGGACCCGAAACAATTCAACCGGGACAGATCCAACTGCGGCTCTAGTATTATTTCTGCGGATTAAGCGGATTAAACTGTACAATCTTCTGAAGATTGTTGGAAAAATGCTTGAAATCCAGAAGGAGCAGTTACAGGATGAGCACCAGGAAACAACGCGTGATATACTCCAGCAAATTGCGAGGAGCCAATGCCAAAACAACTTCCAAACAGAGCTGATGCAATTTTTAAGGTAGTCCAAAAACTAACGTTTATTTTACTTATATGAATTGTTTTATTATAGCTTACAAAATTGCCAATAAAATTTCAACGGACGGAAAAGGAAATAGACGGAGGATAGAAGGAGTGCAAGAATTAACAATCAAACATCGTCGTTGTTCCATTTTTATACCCGATACTCAAATTAGTATATTAGATTTGTGGTAAAAGTGGATGTGTGTAACGTCCAGAAGGAATCGTTTCCGACCCCATAAAGTATATATATTCTTGATCAGCATCAATAGCCGAGTCGATTGAGCCCTGTCTGTCTGTCTGTCCGTCCGTCCGTCCGTCTGTCCGTCCCTATCAGCGCCTAGTGCTCAAAGACTATAGGAGCTAGAGCAACGACGTTTTATATCCGGAAAACTGAAAACTCAGAATCGTAGAGAACGACTATATGTTCTAGAGTGTAACATCTGATCATATAATTATTATAGCCAGAATCAAGAAAACAATTTTATTCTTTCTCGCTCTTTCTCTCTCTAACACAGGTTTCATGGTCGGTTTTGCCAATTGCAAAATGTGAGTTCAAGGATCTCAGAACCTACAAGAGCCAGAGCACTCAAATTTCGTATCCACACTCCTGTGATGTCGGACCTTGACCGTTTGGTCTAAAAATTTCGCCACACCCCCTTCCGCCCTCGCAAAAGAAGGACGAAAATCTGTTGAATCCACAATATTGCAGATTCGAGAAAACTAAAAATGCAAAATCATACATAATGACCATATCTATCAGATTGCTGAGTCTGGATCATGATTAATATTATTTTATAATAAATAAATATAAATTAAATAATAATAAAATTGTTATATAATATTTAAGAATAATAAGTTGATACAATGTGGTGAATGGATTCAAGCATAAGACCCTGAACGGTTCCTCCATGGCAGAACTAGATCTACAAATCAGAAGGAAGAATGGATGGATTTCTAGTCGATCTAATAGGGTGAATGAATAATATAGATTTTGTGGCTCAACAAGTAGTGATATCTATTTATTTATTTATTAAATTAAGAATTATCTGCTAATAATGGTACTTAATTACAAAAGGAGGAAAAAAGAGAAGTTAAAAGTTAGTTGAATTTAAATGATTATAAATATTGCATGCAATTAGTCTAATGGACAATTCAGGGGATAAGGAATGACAGAGGAAGTTATAATTATGGCATATAACCCTAAAAGGTTCATGTTCGGCATAATTTGACCTACATATGGGTAAAAGGATTGGCCTAAAAGTACGGCTAGGTCTAGATGGGACGGCCAAGTCACCGGTAGGGTGACAAGATTCTTCCCGAGTCCCAGTTAAAGTTATGAAGGGCAAAAATTAAATATTGCTTTTGCACGGATTCAATAACAACCTGCTGCTCTTTATACTGCCGGCTCTATGATGGTAACAATTGCATCCTAGCTAATGCCTATACAGGGACTATACACAAGTGCAATATTCTACAATTGGACGAACAAGTAAGACAAAGAGAGCCTGCGTTATATGTACATACATATAAATTTCTTTGACCACCTCGATTCAGGGAACTGATGTTGTGCGTCATGCAATCGTCGACATGGAGGAACAGGATGACGGTTAAATTACCACCCTCGCTTGCTTCATTAAGTGTGGCGGCGAGATCATAACATTAACATTTTCTATCGGTAAGCAAGACTAAACTGTCGTACTCCTATGAAACCATGCTTATCTAATGTCTCATTGAACCACCGAACCACTCTTGTGTCGCTTGAGAGAAAACAGAGTCGAATTATCGTACATACTATTTTTATTTTAAACAAAGAGAAACAAGAGCTCCTTTACTGCTTAAAAATAAATAAATAAATAGAGAAACATACCAAAAGAGTTTCTCCCTGCTGTATTATAGTATTTGAACTGAACCCATCTCTAGCCTCCAAGAAAGTGTCGTTGGACTGCTCGTTGATTGCCTGTCAGCTGATTTTATAGATTACAAAAAGTCTTCCTTCTCAGTTGCGAATTTCTTAGCAACAAAATGTTGTGGTTACGCCATTCTGGCCCTTGCGGTGCTCGATTTGGAAATTTGAGGGAAAATAATCGTATCGTGCCGAGTTGCTCGGTGGCCTGCCCGTGCACATCTCTAGGGTATACCTAACCTACATATGTAACAAAAACAAAAACCTTCCCCATGGCTGCATGTTGGTTTATATCATCACTTGCGTTCCCAACCATGACCAGTCGCAATGTGTCAGGCACAACTCTTCTTAAAACTCCTACGAAGTTCAAGCCAACGACAAAGCCACACTCCGCACACTGCTCATCAGTTGCGTGCAAAATTTCTCCAAACCAGTTTTTTTTTTAAATGATAACAAGTTTGCGGAGACGTCGAATGTAATGGTACTTTTTGAAAAAGAAAGACAAACTTATGTCAAAATCGGTTTTACCAATATTGGACATCAAGATACGAGTTTTATTATTATTATTATTAAATAAATCTATAATGCCATATTCTTTTAATCCTAGGATTATACCTACTTTCGTCGAAAGAGCTCGCCTAGATATTTTGGACCCCAACGAGTATTAACATACAAAGTTGTCGGATAAGAAGAAGACGTCTTTTGTACGTCTTCATATTTTCGCTTCGCTGCAAACGAAGAGCCGAAAAAGACAGCGGTGAGAAACTCGGTTGCTGACTTTATTTCAGTATTCAGTTGGTAACGGGAAAGTCGGTTGGTGTGTCTTTTTGTAAAGCGAGTGAAAGACTAGTGAAACGCCCGTTTTTTCTACTTCGAAATAAATAATAAAAGGAATATTGTTTATATATTAATATCTAATGTCTTTTACTCATTAACTTTTAAAAGTTGAATATATAGATCGAGTATGTATGCATTCAAATTACTAAGACTTTTTCGGTTGGTGTTAGAGTGTTGAATAGACATCCATCCATACAGTGTTTTTGTGATGCATGGGTGAAAGTAAAAATGAAAAGAGAATTCGTTTTAGTATTTGGTAGCCAGATCTGGTTTAAGAAGATTTTACTCGTGTACAGAATGAACGAAAACATGTTTTGGGGTTTTTTATTTTTGATGCCAAAAACGGAAATGAAATTCTTAGTGGTAAAACTGGTCTGGGATCTCTTTTCACAAACAGTAATGTGCAAACTTTCATCATACCCACACGCACATTATGTTTTTTTTGAAATTGTTAAACGCCCAAATTGATAAAGGGTTCTAAAGGTGATACCAAGGGTCTTAAAGACACCGCATTGGGAGGAATATACATACATATATAGCATTTTACATATCCACCGATTTAACAGAAATTTCCATATCGTGCCGTCTTATGGTAATTTTTTCCCTTGTCTTTGTATTTATTTTGTGAATATCGTATGGATAACAAAAAGACGTGATTTCGTGCATGCTAAAAGTGGAGCTGATGGCAATAATTTAGCACTTCCGACTGCCTCTTAATCCCACAAAAAAAAACCAGTTCTTTCAATGTTTCGGGAGGGGAAGCATTTTCGTGTGTTAAGGTAGAGGTAGAGGAATGTTTTGTGATATCGACCAGGTGAATGTAATGCACAGAAGAAATCATCACATACACGAGAGTTTTCTGGAGCATCAACATCCCTAATCGGGACAATCCCTCAAGACTTACAAAACTTAGAAACAAAAATTATAAATTTTGGGTCTACTGCGGCCATAGGAACAAAAGATTTCCATGGTTATTAAAAGCTTCGGTCTTAAAGTCGGCATTCCTTTCTAGTTTTTCTAGTATCATAGAGATAAAAAGCTAAAAATGTGTGAAATGGATTTTGCACATACCTTTTGTGGTCGGAGATTCGTCATTCTGTGCGTTACTCTTAGTTATGTATATGTGTTTATATTATCTTTTTCGAGGGTATAAACAAATCAGTTAAAATCAGAAAATCGGAAGTTCACGTACCGTACGCTACAAAGGAACATAATTGGTTAATTGTTGTGTTTTTAGTCGATCTAAATATTATTTATACTTATATATTTATACTTTCCAGCAAATGCCAGGACAGGGGCAAGCTCTGCCTAAATTGTGGGCTTTACTACTTTATGCTCCTTTATTTTTTATTCGTTCCTGCGATGGTCACGGAAGGCTAATCGAACCGCCAAGCAGGGCATCGGCCTGGCGCTATGGATTCCAAACACCGCCAGATTACAATGACCATGAGCTTTATTGCGGCGGGTTTACACGCCAATGGAAGCGAAATGGTGGAAAGTGCGGCGAGTGTGGAGATGCGTGGGACATGCCGGAGCCACGGCCCCATGAAAACGGTGGTCAGTGGGGGCAAGGCGTGATTGTGCGAAGTTATTTGCCAGCATCCGAGATGACGATTCGGGTTGAATTAACTGCCAGCCACATGGGGTACAATAGACGCGGATTTATTTTACAACTGTGCAATATTGTAATTCTTTGGTTTCGTCTCTAGGTATTTTGAGTTTCGGTTATGTGATGATCCGGGTGCCAAACAGGCATGCCTAGATAAAAATATCCTGCATATACTTGGTGGATCTCCTGCGCATCCAAGTCCAGCGGATTTGGACAGCCGCTTCTATCCTCGAAATGGAAGTCGCATATATGAAATCAAAGCACGCTTACCTGGTAAAGTTTCTTGAGTAGAGACTCCTTTTACAATAATTATAAACTTATTTTGTGCCACATTCGGATTGTTTACAGAAATGACATGTAATCAATGCGTGCTGCAGTGGCGCTACGTTGCTGGCAATAATTGGGGCATGTGCAACGATGGTAATGGTGCAGTTGGCTGCGGACCCCAGGAGGAATTTCGTTCGTGTTCAGATATCGCAATAACCACGGATGCACGACCTCCTATGCGACCTATTCGACCTTTACACCCAACGCCCACACGACCTAGTACGAAAATACCAACAACTAATGAATATGATTCAGAAGAAAATGCATTTAATTATTCACTTCTATTAGCACTAGTAATTACTCTGGGAGTAGTTTTTTGTGCCATTGGAATTTGGTACTTTTATAGACGAAACTTTTGTATTTTTAAGGAATGTAGCAACTCTGTTGCGCAGAAGTTTAGAAATAATAACAAAAATAACGCGTCTTTGGAAAATGCTGTCCACAACAGAATCTTCAAACCTCTTGAATCGCTTGGTTACGGGGGTAAAGGTGTCGAGGTGGACAATCCGCCCGTTCCCCCTCCCCGGACCAAGCGAGACGGAAGGATGCGGGAATTGTCAGCTAATGCCTCAAGTGTAGCCTAGACAGACAACGAACTGAGCAAATGCTTTTGGTTTCCCAACCTCTTTGCCTCCACCTTTTCATCTAATCTAACCGAATGTATCGGAGTGATTATCCTTAGATATCCTTTTAGATTTAAAGCGCTCCTTAGTACTTAGAACTTAGCAGAAAATTATCCTCTCTCATTACTATTTAAAATCATATATGTATTTAATTATTTATAGGGAACCCCAATATTGTGTATTCTGTACTCTGTTTATTACTCTCATTATACCAATTCTAACAACGACTGCCGTAGTTATCTTGCATAAAGCAATAGCTGTACATGCTAAAATAAATATTAAGTATAGATAGGTACTTTCACACTTTACACCAAGTTTCACTGCCCCAAATACATAAGTTCATCAAAATAGTGTTTACGTATTTACTTACATATATGCTTAAGACATACGACTATGTGATAGAAATAAATATAAACTTTCATACAATTTTAGTAAAGACATATATTTATATAGTATATGAATAAATGCGAGTATTTACAAAGAATATATGTACATGTTGAAAAATGTCCCGGGTTTATACTATTCAACAAAAGGAGGCATCTGCGCAATATCATCATCTACACGACACATGATAGATCGGTAGATCGTACATACATACTTAAGTTGTTGTAAGTTGTTGGCGGATGATGTGATCCTGATTTGTAAAGAAGCTACACTTTTCTTGGTCAATCTTCTTTTGCCGACTGAGCCATTGCGTGCAATTGAACCAATGAATCACTGTCACTTGATTGCTTCTGTAAAAATGCTAAAAACACACTTGTAGATATGTACTTTAGGTGTCACACAACAAGATTACATATGTACATATACAGATATTTTATAAAGCAAGTTCAATCAACGGCCTATTGATTTGCATTCAGCAGTTCATTAACATTAAGCAATACGCTTTGAAGTTCATTAACATGGCCATTGGAAGTATTGTATTACAATGTACTTACAATCTATTTCCAGTTGAGTGCATTGTTCGTCTACTAAATAATCCAGTGGCAACGACTTCATAATTAAATTCGCCTTTAACTACTTTCACTTTGTCATACTCAAGAATGAAAACGCTATACTTTGTATTGTTAAAATATATACTAGTTAAAATTGCGCAGACAGTAAAAATATGTATCTACATGTGTACCATTTTGAACCTGGTTGTTGAGAGCTATATGGTACTTGTAAGATATGATTCGATTTGCCAATACGATTTACTAAGAATTGGCGTAGGCATGTTTTGTTAATTAGTCGTTCCTGAAATTTAAATTATCCAGCCCTTGCAATCCCGGTACACAGGAAAATGAACTGCCTACTTATACAATTCATCGACTTTAATTACTTTGGTGTGTTTGTGGTCAAATTATTTACCATTTATTTTTTTTGGAATTTGTAATCGGACTGACTTTATGGCGAGTACGTATAAAAGCCGCCTGTGGGAATATCGAGTGCCTAGTTGCAATTTGTTTCGCAATTCGATAATACCTTCTTGTTATATTACGAGTAATATTCTGACGGAAGCTAAATATAATACATTTGTAAATTGGTGATAGTGAAAAGTGAAACAGTTTTTGAGATAATATACTAAATACTTTGAAAATTTTAAATCCAACAAAAAAAAAAATGTCTACATCTACTGAAAGAAATGAGAAGAAATACTCCAGAATCCGACCTGATTCAGACGGCGATGATATAGTGATCTCCGGGATGGCCGGAAAATTTCCAAACTGTCGTAACATATCGGAATATGAATACAAGCTTTACAACAAGGTTGGCACCCATATACAAATTTTAACTGATAATAAATTAAGAATAAAAGGTGACCAGGAAATATGAGCATGAAAATATGAATTTGCAATAAATTTAATAGCAAACAATAGCGGATAGGGTATTTTTTCTTTTCATGAAAAATGTGGTTACGTTGTGCACATGTGAAAATATATTTAAATTAAAGTGCAAATATGTGATACAAGACCTTAACGGTAAATCGTTAGTTACGTTGGGGTGGTAAAAAGAAATAAAGTGGAATTCGTACGCGGCTGTTCATCAAAGAAACGACTTGCTACTTGTTTTATAATGATTATCTTGCAATTTTGTCCGATACTTTTAAAGTGAAAAGTACTAGGTCCGGGGTCGAAACATCATAAAACCTAACAACTATCCTTTTCCAAGACCTTTTCATCTGAGTACTGGAAATCCTTAAGTCGGAGTGCCGACAGTACCGTTCTTAATCTAAATAAAGGTTCAAGATAGTTCTAAAGCAGAATACGAAAGGAAACATGCATTATAAATATTTTTATAGTATGGATCAATATGTCTACATTTTAGATTGATATGGTTGACGACGATGAGCGTCGTTGGCGCCACTTTAATCCGGAAATACCAAAGCGATCAGGAAAAATTTCTGACCTCGAAAAGTTTGATGCTACTTTCTTTGGAGTGCATTTTAAGCAAGCACATACAATGGATCCCCAGACACGTATTCTCATCGAGACTGCGTATGAAGCTGTCATAGATTCAGGAATAAACCCAAAGAGTCTTCGTGGCTCCAAGACAGGAGTGTACGTTGGATCTTGTATATCTGAATCGGAAAAAACATGGTTTTACGAAAAGGTGTCATCTGGCGGCTTTGGAATTACTGGCTGTAGTCGGGCCATGATGGCTAATAGGATTTCGTACTCTCTAGGATTGGAGGGTCCTTCATTTTTACTAGATACAGCTTGTTCCAGTTCCATGTACGCCCTTGACAACGCTTTTAGCGCCATTCGAAATGGAGAAATTGATGCCGCCATCATAGGGGGATCAAACTTACTTCTTCATCCTTTTGTAACCCTTCAGTTTGCGAGGTAAGTAAACACTTGTGCCTGGATACGTCGCGCTCTAATAATGTGACATTTTAGACTCGGTGTTCTGGCCCAAGACGGCTTTTGTCGTCCGTTTGATAAGGATGCTAGCGGTTACACACGATCAGAAACCATTAACTGCCTTTTTCTTCAACGTAAACGAGATGCCAAACGCGTTTATGCAAGTGTTATTTATTCAAAAACAAACTGTGATGGATATAAACCAGAGGGTATTACCTATCCGTCGGGTAAAGTGCAAGAAAAATTGCTCGACGAATTTTACAAGGAGATTGAAGTTACGCCAAATGATTTGGGCTACTTGGAGGCTCACAGTACAGGGACTGTAGTGGGCGATCCAGAGGAGTGCAAAGCGATTGATAACGTTCTTTGCAGTCAGAGGCAAGAGCCGCTATTGGTTGGATCTGTAAAATCAAATGTAGGGCATTCGGAAGCAGCTTCCGGGATCTGCTCTTTAGTAAAAGCCTGTTTTGCCTTCGAAACTGGTTTCATAGCACCAAACATAAACTTTACAGAGGTTAAATCTGTAATTGCACCGTTGGCTGAGGGACGATTGATTGTAGTTAAAGATGTCACCCCACTACCAAAGCCATGTATCGGCATAAACTCCTTTGGATTTGGTGGGGCCAATGCTCATGCCCTTTTGAAAGCCTATCCCAAGGCCAAGGCCAATTTTGGCCTGCCAGAAGATGATATACCACGAATTCTCACATGGGCAGGAAGAACAGAAGAGGCCGTCAACGAGATTTTTAATGCTGTGGAGAAAAAGCCATTGGATGCGGAATTTATTGGATTACTTCAAAACATTCAAGAGAGCGATGTATCTGGCATGGTCTTCCGTGGCTACGCAATATTTGGCAAGCAAGGTGAAGCCCCTGCAAAAGCATTGGTCAGAGATGTACAGCATTACACCGGCCTCCAGCGCCCCATAGTCTGGGTTTATAGCGGAATGGGCTCGCAGTGGCCCGAAATGGGTGCTTCGCTTATGGTTATACCCCGTTTCCGAGAATCAATTGAAATATGCCATCAGACTTTGAAACCGAAAGGAGTTGACCTTATACACATATTAACATCCAACGACCCCACAATTTACCAAAATATTTTGCACTCTTTCGTGGGTATAGCGGCCGTCCAAATTGGTTTAACTGATGTCTTGCGTTCCCTTAACTTGGAGCCAGACTTTATTATTGGGCATTCTGTGGGAGAACTGGGCTGCGCATATGCCGATGGTGGGCTTACCCCACAACAAATGATACTAGCAGCCTATTATCGCGGAAGAGTTAGTGTTGACGTGGAAAAAATTAGGGGCTCCATGGCAGCAGTCGGCATTGGGTACAAGTCAATTCTGCACATGCTGCCGGAATCCATCGAAGTGGCCTGTCACAACGGTCCAGACTCTTGCACTATCTCTGGACCAGTCGATGATGTCACCCGTTTTGTAGACGAATTAAAGGCCAAAAGTATATTTGCCAAAGAGGTGCCATGCTCCAATATAGCTTATCACTCAAAATACATTGCCCACATGGGACCCCCCTTGCTGCAATATATGATGGAAACTGTACCAAATCCAAAAATGAGAACCGATAAGTGGCTGAGTACTAGTGTTCCCAAAAGCGATTGGGATCAGGCTGAGCGCAAGCTTTGCTCCGCTCAGTACCATACTAATAATTTGCTGAGCAGTGTGCTTTTTGAAGAAACATTCGCATTGCTTCCGAAAAATGCCTTGACTATCGAAATTGCACCGCATGGCTTGCTGGGCGCTATTCTGAAGCGATCTATGCCAAGTGGGGTTCATATTCCACTGACGAATAGGGGAAACAAGAACAACGCCTTGTTCTTTTTGTCTGCGCTGGGAAAGTATGTATAACCAATATGAACTTACATCAATTGTGTTCATTATTTTTCGTGTTTCTTTTATTTGAATTTTTCGGTAGAACACACCAAAATGGATTAATGGTTCCTGTTTCTAACTTGTATGGAAAAATTGACTTCCCAGTGTCGCGGGCTACACCAAGCATCAGCTCACTCATTCGTTGGGATCATAGTGAAGATTGGTTTGTGACAAAGTATGAAAATATGAAAACAAAGTCCAGTGGGGAGCGCATATTTCCAGTTAATTTAGCCAGTGACAACGAGGAGTTTATGAGTGGACATGTTATAGATGGCAAAATTTTGGTTCCAGCTACTTCCTACCTGCAGTACGTTTGGGAAACATTTTCCCTCATGTATCATGGTCCGAGCTATATGGATGTGCCAGTTGAGTTCGAAGACGTACGCTTTTTGAGAGCGACAAATATGTCAGTAAATGGCGATGTGGAATTGAACGTCATGATTCACTACGGCACCGGACACTTTGAGGTAAGTGCATACGAATATTACCAATGCAGATATGACTTATACATACTAACATATGTATGTACATATCTATAATCTATTAGATAACGGAAGCGGGCAGTTTGGTTGTTACCGGTCTTATAAGAGAGACTGAAAGTCGCACCGTACCAGAAGTATATCACTTCCAGAAGGAATCAGACTTTCCTATGGTATCGAAAAAAGGCTTCTACAAAGAACTAAAATTACGTGGATATCATTACAATGGAGCATTCAAGGCAGTTCACAAGGCCCGTTCGGATGGTCTGTACGGACAGGTGGAGTGGAATTATAATTGGGTAACATTCATGGATGCGATGCTACAAATTCAGATACTGGGAACTGATTCACGGACACTTCTGCTGCCAACAAAGATTCGAAAACTTAGAATAAATGGCTTGCATCACTTTGACTTACTGACCAAAATGGACCCTGAGAATCGCTTTTTCGACGTATATGTGGATCGAAAGTTCGATCGGATTGTCGCGGGTGGCATTGAACTTGTGGGTCTTCATGCAAGTCCCGTTCAAAGACGCAGGCCACCTGGTATTCCTATCCTGGAGAAATATGAATTTCTCCCCTTCTTGCCGTCTCCAGCTGTATCGCTGGCAAATGCTGCCCGAATTTGTGTGCAATTGACCCTAGAAAATAACCCTTCATTAAAAATGAAGTTGGTCGAGGTAGATACAGATGGAAGAAACACGATTTTAAATGAATTCTTGGAAGCTATCGAAGACTTACCAGTAATCACGGGAGATTACATGTTTTTGACATCTAGAAAGGTAGACGACATTCCCGGCATTCATATTGAAAATGGAAGTTTGTCCACACAATCGAATTGTCACTTCGTTGTTTGTGGTGGAGTCTGCGGAGATCTTAACAAAGACGTTATTGAAACTGCCAAAAGCGTGCTTACAGATAGTGGATACTTACTAATCAGAGCGCAATCAAATATCGATAAAGTACATTCAGAAGTGTCAGATCAATTTCGGATGATTACAATAATTCCAATTGAAGACAACGAGGAGGCGTTTATTCTCCTGCAGAAAGCACCAAAGAACCTGCAAATAGAGCCCCTAGTTGTGAAAGTGTCCGAAAATGACAAAATGTTTGAGTGGATAGCTCCAATTCAGTCTGCGCTTAGCTCAAAGACTCCCGTTGTTTTGTATTCGTTTAATGAAGAGCTCAGTGGACTCATTGGGTTAGTGAACTGCTTGCGTAAGGAGCCAGACGGCAATTTGGTTAAGTGCTTCTTTATTGCGGACAAAACTGCCCCAGCGTTTAATTTAGCAGATCCGTTCTATTCAGCTCAACACTCGCTCGGATTGGCAATTAACATTTATCGCAATGTAAGTTATTCATGGTCAACTTATGGCACACTTATCAAAATTATCAATCAAATATTTTCTTTTTTACGAAACTTAGGGAACTTGGGGTAGTTTAAGGCACTTGAAATTGCCCAAGTCTGATAAACCGATGACCAGATTGGATCACATCTATGGCAATGTGATTCAACGTGGAGATCTGTCAACCCTCCGTTGGTTTGAAGGCCCCCTTAATCCACAAGACTGCATGATCAAAATTGCATACTCATCGCTCAATTTCAGAGATGTTATGCTGGCAACGGGTCGCTTGGCCGTTGAGTTATATGGCTCTAGCCGCATAGACCAGAATTGTGTTCTGGGCTTTGAGTATTCCGGGATCAACACAGTAACGGGCCGGCGTATAATGAGTATGGTTGTTAAGGGTGGCGTTGCTTCTTACGTGGAGAAGCCGTCAAAGCTTATTTGGGATATTCCTGATCACTGGTCACTGAAAGAGGCAGCCACCGTTCCGGTGGTGTATATAACCGTTTACTACGCATTCTTCATGGCAAGTGATATCAGGAAAGGAAAAAGTATTCTTATTCATGCCGGAACCGGGGGCATTGGACTTGCCGCGATTCGAGTGGCATTGGCGTACAACTTGGAAGTCTTTACAACCTGCAGTACACCTCAAAAGAAGCAATTTTTACTGGATACATTTCCGCAACTAAAAGGTACACCTATGGAGTTTATTAATGAAAGAAATAACCAATCCGTGTATATTACATTTCAGAGTCAAACATTGGCAACTCACGGGACACATCTTTTGAGCTGATGATCCAGCGAGAGACGGATGGAAATGGTGTAGACTTTGTGTTGAACTCATTATCTGAAGACAAGCTTCTGGCTTCGGTGCGCTGCCTTGGGAAGTCCGGTCACTTTTTGGAAATTGGCAAATTCGATATGGCCAACGACAGCAAGCTTGGGATGGGATGCTTTTTGAAAGAAATCACTTTCCATGCTGTGTTGGCCGATAGTCTTCTTGTGGCTCCTGAAGAAGACATTTGGGTAATAAGCTCTGTTTTTGTTTTATTACGAAGATATTAATATAATTGTACACTTTGACAGCACTTGAAAAGCCTGATCGATGCGGACATTTCTAAAGGCATTATTCAGCCATTGCCCGTCCAAGTGTTTCCGGCTCATGAAATTGAACAGGCATTTAGACACCTAATAGGTGGAAAGCACATCGGAAAGGTGGTAATTCAAGTTCGGGATACACCCGAGAATCCGGCTACCTTACCGGTGCGTGTGATGAGCCAAATTTACTTTAAGCCAAACTTATCTTACGTCATTCCGGGCGGCCTAGGAGGCTTTGGAATGGAATTGGCTGATTGGATGGCTCTGCGTGGGGCTCGAAAGCTCATACTCAGCTCCAGTCGCGGGATAACGAAAGACTATCAGTCATATAGAATCGCGTAAGTTCATATTACGGTTTATCATACCAAAGCAAAGGGTGTTATTATTTATTATTCAGTCCGCTCGTCTGCTGGCTGTCCGAAAACTCCGACAAAATATTCAACTGAGTACATATATCAAATAGTTACCTTCATAACGCTCGGAACATACTGTTTTATATGGAGATACGTACATCATCATTTAAATATAATTGAAATCGGACGAAAGAGAATCGATCGATCTGAAGCTTCGGCGCTCCGAAGATGCCCTTTTTTTCTGGTTTTTTTTCAAAGTCTGAAAACCTATTACTTTTTTAATCCATTTAATAGGCTTTGGAAGACTTACGGCTGTGAAGTTGTGATTAACACGGCAGATATATCGACCATTGAAGGTTGTCAAAAGTTGCTGTCAGAAGCTTCTAAACTCGGTCCTGTGGGAGGTATTTTCAATCTTGCTGTAATGCTACGTGACGCCATTTTTTCAAACCAAAGCTTGGATCAATTTGTGGAGAGCTTTGCTCCTAAAGCAGTAGCAACAAAACATCTGGATACGTTATCGCGGGTATTTTGCCCAGAGCTCGAACATTTTGTGGTGTTTTCAAGTGTGTCCTGTGGCCGTGGAAATGCCGGTCAAACCAATTACGGAATGGCCAACTCCATTATGGAACGTATAATTGAATGTCGCCATAGAGATGGGTTGCCAGGTAAAGCTATCCAGTGGGGTGCTGTTGGCGAGGTGGGACTAGTGGCGGACATGGCCGAAGACAAAATTGACATGGAAATAGGAGGAACCCTTCAGCAAAGAATTGCATCATGTCTTCAAGAGCTTGACTACTTATTAAGTGCCGAATCTCCAATCGTTGCCAGTATGGTCGTAGCTGAGAAACGTTCTGGACGTTCTGGAAACGAAAGTATTATCGATGCGGTTATGAATATTATGGGCATTCGAGATTTAAAATCTGTATCGCTGGGCACAACGCTATCAGAGATGGGTATGGACTCATTAATGGCAGTCGAGATCAAGCAAACCCTAGAGCGTGACTTCGAACTAGTTTTGTCCCCGCAAGACCTACGGTCGCTAACATTCCAGAAACTTCAGGAGTTTGTTGAAGCTAAGGAAGGAGAGAATACTGATGATATAAAAATGATTTTCGCATCAGATAGTAACCTCTTAGGCATGGACCTACTTCTTCGAAACTTGGGCGATGAAGCGCATTGTGATCAAGTGATGATTCCACTGAACACTTCAGCAGCTCCTTCAAAACAGAGCTTTCCACCAAATATAATAATTCCTGGACTAGAGGGGACCGCAGGTCAGGCATGGTACCATATTGGATCGAATTTGCAAAGCAGGGCCGTCGTCCTACAGCTCCATCAATTTGCCAGCCTGGAGACAGTTCAGGAAATAGCTGAGCAAAGCTTAGAAGTGAGTAACACTATTTTATAAGTTATAGTATAAATAATATAATACGTCAAATGTTCTTTTTCGTCATCTTGTAGCGTGTTAAGCCAATTTTAAAGCCGACAGAACCATTTTATATTATCGGATATTCATATGGTACTTTTGTGGCGCTTAAACTAGCGCAGCTACTGGAAAACGCTGGATTCCGTGGACATATTATGCTGTTAGACGGAGCTCCTCATTTCTTAAAACGACTCACCAATCTTCACTTGGGGGAAAACTTTTCGGATAACGACCTCTATGACCTTCTTTTAACAAGAATTGTTAATAAGATATTCCATCAAGAGTCGACTGCTTCAGCTTTCCACAAGATCAATAGTCTTGAAGAAAAAATGACATTATTCATGGAGTATGTTGAAAAGCAGAAAGTTTATAGCAAAGAGTACGCTACTACAATGGTGGGTGCCATGTTCCGAAGGGTGAAAATGGCAGCTAAATTCGATTTGGACAGTACAAAGAACCTTAAATCTCCCATTACTCTAGTCCGTCCAGCAGAGGTTTCCCTTCAAGACATTGATGAAGACTATTGTGTTTCGCAGCTGACTGCTGGTAAAGTGGTACTTAAAGTAATTGAAGGAAATCATACAACTATGTTGGATAATCCGGCACTAGCCAAGATAATAAACGACTTTGACCCGACACTTTTGGATGACAAAAATTTTGAAGAATATATTCGAAATGATAAGCCTGTTGCTGTCGTATAAATATAATCCTTTTTTTTTTTCTAAAAACGAAACTAGCATAATAAAACACAGACATTTTAATGTATTTGTACTGTAAAAACAACTTAAAATATTTAATATAAATTCTGTAAACCTATATACTATATTTATCACACTATTTATTCCAAAGCAATCTAGCTGATTTTCAGCGGTACTCATAGGGTTTCGTCTAAAGGTATTTTCATATGTTACAGCTTCCTTCTGGCCTTCCAACTCATAAAGTGAGTGTACAAAACCAACTCCGGAACTTACGTATAATTACGTATAAAATATATTGTATTGCTTACATGACGCATAAGCTCACATATAACGACTGTTTTCCGGCCACTAAAAACAATTTTCATACTAGATTCTCAAATATTAGTAAATATTACTGTTTTAATGCTTGAAGGAAGCATATTGTCAGTCCTTGCATATTATCAGTCTACCGCCTTCGGCGGCTTCCCGTCCGGCTTCTCACTCTTTCAGTGTGGCTTAGCAATTAATGGTGGACTTTTCTGAGTAGGGGCTGGTCAAATTGGCTTAACGTTAATATTGTGGTAGGTTCACGCAGGCACGGCCCACAACTGTCATCTCACACATTGTTATATTTGATCTCCCACAATATTCTTTTAAAAGATTTCCCGCTTTATTAAAAGAAAAATACTAAATACTTATTAGAAGCTCCGTCAATCAGAATTTCGGATGAGACCGGACAGAAGGAAGAATCTCCGTTACATATTCTGCTTTCCAACCAACAAGAGTATAAAAAGTATTAAAAGCTTTGCGATTTAATGAATCTATAATTTATGGAGTCCACATACAATAATAAAAGCTGAAAGTCATGATCACAGTTCGTCAAAATTATTCTGACGATGATTCTCGGCAAAAGCAGTATAGACCATGATTCAATTATAGTACGACTTACCGGCTTTACTTGTTTCTCTTCCAAACGTTGCAACTAAGAATTAATTCCGTTGAAGACCTTTTTATCTTTATCTTAAAATAAACGATATATGTATGTACACTATAAGTGATACTACAAAACTGCACTACATTTTGCCATAGTTCGAAAACTTAACAAGATCAAGGCAGTGTAATTTATGACGCTTGTGCGGTTGACAGCGTCAACGGCTCTGATTGTTTCGCTCACACATTTGAACAGTAGTTTCGATTCAACCGCTCGCACGAAAGGTATCGGTATCCGTGAACGGGTGAGCTTGAATTTTCAGGTTTGCTTGAAGCTTGGAGTGGGCAATAATTTATAAAGTGCTTTGCTTTGATAGGCACATGTTCGCTAAATAGGAAGCAAATAATTACGGTGTGTGTGCGTGTACGTGCGTGTGTGTGAGCTGTGTCTGTTTGTGAGAAAAGTGTCCGCGTTAGAGTGACTCAAAATTTGGGGAAAAGTTTATTTTTGCGAAACATACAAAATGAAAATAAATTTCTAGTAGAGAATTTGTATATGTGCGGGTGTAGTACACCTTAATATTGTGATTTGATGTTGATTTGAATGTGCGTGCATTTTAATTTCGCGTGTGACAAACCAATAGAATTAATAATTCTTAAAAATTCTTCAATGATCTGTCACACCCGTATCCACAGTACAATTGCTTTGATATACTTATACTATGCGGACACTTAATGCACAAAGTTCGTACATGATGTCACGTTACATCCAAATGTATTTATAGACCACTTATAAGGTGCTAGCTTAAGGTGCAAGTGTCAGCCACACATTGACCTCGGACTGTTATCGCAAAGTAGAAGAAGCAAAAATAATAATAATTGAGCTGTTCAATACAAGCAACAGCAAAGCATACTGAAAAAAGCCTCGCCGATTTATTAAAATGTATGTGGTTAGACTTATAATGTGCATTACGTTTATGGCGGCTTTGGTTGATGTTGTTACGCCACGTGATGAAGCTAAGCAGGAAAAATCATTCAGGTAATTAAAAACAATCTTCCCAAATATATATTTAAGTATAGACTTTATGAAGATTTAATCTTTGTTCTAAGGAAAGAATAAGTAGTTTGAAAAGGTTTTAGATCCAACCAGCTCAAAACTATTTTAATGATACACTACTACGGTTCGCGTTTCAGAGGCCACTCTTTTTTGTAACATTTTTGTAAAGCCCGTTATTTCCGTTATAATCTACTATTATACATATTTATGTATGTATTTTTATGTACATATGTATGTAAGGAGGATGACATGTTCATAGAATCCGACAAATCATATCCGACGGTTTTTAACAAATCATAAAGAAACTTTTGTGCAATTTCAAGAAGCTAAAAATATTGCCATCACTTATTAATACATACATATATGTATAATTAGTTCATTGGCAACGATCCACGATAAATAATAGTACCGTACTAAGATATTTACTATAGAGTTATCACAGTGTATCGTGGATTGGATACATTGGAGTGGTACTCTCAGATCTTATTGAAGTAGTTTAATCAGTGAATATTCGCACTCTTTTACAAGAGGGGACTCTGAACAAGCAGCTTAACAGCCTTAAATAGCCGTCAAATAGTTGCGCTTATAACTCAATCGGTAGTTTTATTGAGTGCTCAATAAACCCAACTGAAATTCCTTATTCCTACACCATTGTAAAAATACATAGGCCTTGGATTCTGATCGGAGTATTGTTTAATCTGAAACATACTCCAATAAACTATCTCCAATACCTGTTCTCTTAAGATCTGTGGCATAGGTGGCCTCGGTCACGTATAATGATTACTTACTGGATTGACGCGATTTTACTAGATCGGTGTTGCCAGGGAAAGAAAGGGAATATGCCGTTTATGTTATTCCTATATGCAGTGGCTAATTTATTGAATTATATATACTTATACTATGTTAGTACAACGTCTTTGATATCAGATCTTGAAATTTTATGACAAAGGTCCCACGCTTTTTCAAAAAATGCGAGTAATGAAGATGACTTTGAAAAGGATGATATCGGCTGGACTAATATCAACGAAGAAGTGGATGTTGTAACACCAATGGTCCTTTTGCATCTGCAAAAGCTGGGTATAGAACATTTACAGTTGCCCGACATGAAAGAGAGTATATCAATAGTAAGTTAATGAAAAATAAGATACAAAATAAATATTTTAATAACATGAAAACATCTAATCATATTATCAACTTTATTTAATACAGAAACCCCTGTTCATCACATACGAGGCGGGTCTCCATTTGACTAATGGGATAGTCTACAACCTGTATGGTATAGCGCGACATGGGGACGCGTTTATGACGTATGAAGGCAAATCGTTCCTGAGCAGATTTTATTTAAAAATAAATAAACTTCAGGTGAGAAAGAAGCACAAGTATTTAAAATACTTACATCTCAGAATATTGTGTACATGTGAAGGGACGTATCCAGCTTTAAAAGAATTGAACAGCTGTACGTACTTACATATATTTCACGATATTTACGATCAATTGAGCTTGAATGTAGGGAAGCCATAGAGGTTTTTGGGTTTATTACTCGGACTGAAACTACCTGGTTGTGCGTTTCTGTCTGGGATCATCGCGTAACGAGCATCGGCTTGGTGTGGCTTGGGCCATTTATGGTGCATTTATGTTTTTTGAAATCGCTTATATCAGTATACATGAGTACATTAGAAGTCCTTTGTTATCTCACACTAACAGAGTCTATTAATAAGCAGATATATATGCGTTGGCAGCGGTACGGAACATCAAAAACTAAAAATTACAAAATTTGTTTGACTTATAATAATTATATCATTATCATTTTATTGGAAATAATAAATCTAAATTGTAAGGCGCCACAAACTACTCCGACCATGAATCTTTCCGTAGCCTTTGCCGCGACTACAACAAATTTTTCCCTCTTTATATACCCGATCTTCAAAATGAGTATTGGGGTAATATTCTTGATCAGCATCAATAGCCGAGTCGATTGAGCCCTGTCTGTCTGTCCGTCCCTATCAGCGCCTAGTGCTCAAAGACATACCAATCTGGATCAGATCGGATCATTTTTATAGCCAAAAGGAACAAATCAATTTGCAGTGGCTACGCAGCGCCCGACGTCACGCTCAGGCAGATTTTCTGTCTCTCTCGCACGCACTCTTTGTCGTGTCGTTTAATATTAGCGGCGTCTGCCGGAGGAGAGCCATACTGACTAAGTATCGGATATAAATGTAGAGTTGCGGTCTCCGCAGCAACTCACAACGTTCCCCTTCCTTTCCTTTGATACTTGCGCTCCCAAAGTAAAATCTTCTTTAATGAATAATTTAAGTTAACTTTCTTCTGCCTTGTATTGTGTACCGAACTTTCCAGCAGCTGATAATTTTATGATTCTTACATTCCTATTTTTACACAGTTTAACTGTACATAAATGAACTCTAAAGATTAAACATTAAATGGCGAACCCAAACCGAAAGCTTAATAGACTAAAAGATGACGTATTTTTTATGTTCTTTGAAAAGAGGCATATCGGTACAATGCCAGGTGTATGCTCTTTTCAAGGCGTTAGCATATTTCAAGATCATAGCCATTTGATGATTGTCCCCGTCCAAGTTACCTAATAAGGCAACAACTTCTATGCATTTCTGTAAATGTGCTCATGTACATACACATACATGTACATATGAACATTGCATGTTTGCTAAAATCTCACTTTGAACCATATTCAAGAAACACATTTCATTTGATAGGTAAAAAGTCTGTGAATAATTACATTTTATATTTTCTTTATTGTACCTTCAAACATTGGGAGGTGTGGTTTCTTATACCCTTGCTGCGGGCATGTATGTACATTTATCGCATTGTATTCTAGAATCTAAATCAGTGTGAGCTTCCGCGTCGAATTTTTGTGCAGGCTTCTGTGGCATCAGACATACATTTTATACCCGATACTCAAAATAAATATTGGGGTATATTAGATTTTTGGTGAAAATGGATGTGTGTAACGTCCAGAATGAATCTTTTCCGACCCCATAAAGTATATATATTCTTGATCAGCATCAATAGCGGATTCGATTGAGCTCTATAAGAGCTAGAGCAACGATGTTTTGGATCCAGAGTTCTGTGATATGTCACTGTTACAAGTATATTTCAAAACTTGCTTGACCCTTGCTTAAACTATTCACCCTGTCCATCGATTCTTCTTGCTTCCCCCCCATCTGGAAGGAATCGTTTATAATTCCTCTCCATAAAAAAGTTAGCAAGTTTGACGCAAAAAATTATAGAGATATAGCAAAGTTATCCGCTATTCCCAAAATGTTTGAGAAGGTATTAGCTCCGCACTTGCAATATCTCTGCAAGTCACTTATATCTCCAACTCAGCATGGATTTATAAGGCGGCGATCAACCACCACGAACTTGTCAGAGTTTAGCTCGTTCATTATTAAAGGCTTTCAAGGTAACTTACAGACGGATGTTATTTACACCGACTTTAGTAAAGCATTCGACTCTGTAAACCATTCCCTTTTAGCACATAAACTTGACCTTTCCGCCCAACCTCCTGAGATGGATTTCTAGCTATCTTTGTTCTAGGTCTCAAAGAGTCCTCTTGAAAAACTCCCTCTCTTTACCAGTAAAGGTTTCTTCGGGAGTACCACAAGGCAGCCACCTAGGCCACTTACTCTTCACACTCTTTATTAATGACTTGCCTTCAGTATTAACATACTCTCGAGTACTTATGTACGCGGATGATTGTAAACTCTGTGTCCAGTACAAGGACATTTCATTTCATTCTCGCTTGCAATCCGATCTCAATAGCTTTCAGTCATGGTGTTGTGCAAACTTGTTACACCTTAATGCCTCGAAATGCAAAATTATGACATTTCATCGTTCTAGCCCTTTGTTGGCTCCCTACACCCTATTTGGTGGTTCTCTTGAGAGAATTACCCTGGTGGATGATCTGGGTGTTATGTTAGACCCCAAGTTAAAGTTTTCCGAACACATTTCTACCATGGTAAATAAGGCCATGGACGTGCTTGGGCTTATAAAGAGGTCGTCAAAGGAATTTGACGACCCCTATATAACAAAGACTCTCTATACCTCGCTTGTTCGTCCGATCTTAGAATACGGCTCCTGTGTATGGTGCCCTCAGTACAAAGTACACCAGGACCGTATAGAATCAGTACAGAAAAACTTTTTGCTCTGCGGGGCCTTAACTGGGATGAAGGTGTGAGACTCCCATCTTACTTTAGTAGACTGCTATTAGTAAACCTCCCATCCTTAGCTAACCGTAGAAAGATGCTTGGTGTGATTTTTATGCACAACTTGATCAGGGGTGACATAGACAGCCCTGATCTGTTGAGCCGCATAAACTTTACGATTCCTATTAGACTTGCTAGAAATTTTATACCGTTGTTCCTTCCACTTTGTAGATCGAATTATTCCTTGCATGAACCGTTTAGGGTCCTATGCTCGGATTATAATTCCCTCTACCATATCATATCCACCACTAATTGTCTTCCTCTTATTAAATTACTAATCCTTACACACCTTTCTAGTAATTAATAATTGTTGTGGTATTTTTATTTTTATGCAGTAATTGCATCGCCTCTTGAAAGATGCGGTCATTGCATGTCAACGTCCACAAATATACAAATTCGGGAATTTGCTTACTTTTTGGTTTTGTTTTTTTTTATTCATAGTTCGAATACAACTTTTTCCTTAAACTGATGGCAATTGAAGGATATGGAAAGGTTATGGGTTCATTGGATGATACGGTCGTATATGCCGAGTTAGCTGTAAACGTCATCAACTCCAAGCTTCATCTTCACGATTTTCGTATAATGGAATTCAGGTAATTGGAAAGTGAGATATGTGCAATAGTTACAGTGAAAATTTAAAGACATTCTTGGGCTATAATTGTATGTACATGCCTGAATATCATGCACTGTAATTTAATAATATATGAAAAATTTATTTTTTATTTCTTTTTAATTAACAGTAATATCCATGTACAATTAGATCAGGCTCGGCTGATAAGACAGCTGACTGGAATTATTTTAAGCCCTATAACAAATTTTTTTAAAGATCGCATAACAACCTCAATAGCAGATGGTCTTAAAGATCAAATGCAATCAGTGATGGATGATTTCAACAACGAGGATCCGTTACAGCTACGTGAATTTACCAAGAAATTGTTATCTGGAATAACTGGAAACACGCCAGAAGATCTTGATTAATACTACATATGTGAATTAGTTTTTTAAGAACAAATATTCGTTTGAGTGGTAACATTGTGGTTTCTGATAATAAACAGTTTTATAAAAAAAAGAAAAATTCTCTTTATAATGTTTTTTACAATATTAGCTTCCCAATATTCGAAGAATCAACCGCTCAACTTCTGAGCAGCGGGTTTTTATTTGTTTGCTTCAAAAAGCCGGTGCCAGGTTCTTCTTCTGTGAAGCTGAACCCATAATGATTTACCAAAGTTTATTAGTAAGTGCTAAAGCTTGAACATTTTTCCCTTTACTATGAATGTGACATGTTTGGACTTGCATTTAACATTGGCTTACAGGTGAGTAATAACAAATACTAACCAATACCAAGATATTGCGTGGGTGTTCATGACTATTTTCACCTACTCGGCGCCTGGGCTGTTGATTCGGTCCGAGAATCCGAAAACGTGGGCTCATCTGGTCTGAAAACAGATACACAGTCTTTAGGGATGTGCAAAATACGATCTCCTCGCACAAGCGGAAGGTGAAGAACGGAATGCCCAATACAATAACAAATTTTGTGTCTTCAGCATGACGAGCCATATGCTCTGCGAGTAGGGTACTGGCTGCGCCACGTCAAAGACTTTGTATTTGTTGTAGGATTCTGGTAAGTCTCAGCTGCCCAAAGGCATACGAGTATATTAAATTCGTATGGATGTTTGTAACAGCCAAAAGAGAGCGTTTCTGACCCTAGCAAGTATAAAACTATTTATATATTCTTAATCAGGATCAGGATTAATAGGACCGTTAGACCGTCTGCCTGTATCGAGGACCTCCCCGATCTCATGACCATAAGAGTTGCAGTAACTGGATTTTGTGTATAAAGTGTATTTTACACGCTCCTTTCCGCCACCTCAAATCACCCACTTCAGTATAGCCAAAATATGTTGAACCGAACCAGTCATTTGCCTCGTTGAAAACCTGACTTTTAAGCGCATTAACGGTGGAGCAGTGCCCTCTTGAGTGCAAAAAAGGCTAGAAGGCTAATTTTAAGGATGACTAAAACGTTACGACTGCTTCAATGCATTTTATTATACATTTCAGGACCAGTTTAGGCTATAGGACTGACACTTTGTACAAAATCATAAAAAATCTTAACACAAAAAGAGCGAACCAATCAATTCTATACCTTTTTAATACAGTGATATTTGGAAGATACTGTTTATATTTTGATAAAAAAAATCAGTTAACAAATAGGTAATATTAAAATAACAAAATTATAATGGTTATAGGAGTTTGTGCATTGAGGTTTGTTTTTGTTGGAAGCGGTTCGTCTGCATACAGTTTAAGTAAGTAGTACAGTACTTAGTAAGTGCATTTAATTAGATAGCTTAGGCGAAATTACATATAATATTTGTATAGTTAATGCATGCTTAGCTTTTTTAGTTACGTTTAGTTATAATTTTCATCAAATATTTTTCTAATATCTATCTTTCCTGGATCTACCCGGGACTGCGCGTAACACGCATTGGCTTGGTGTCGAATGGGCCAATTAATGGTGCAGTCATTGCAAATCAGATCCCAATTTCTAAAAGATAATACATACATACATATGGCCATATATTTTTTGTTAATGTTGAATAGTCAAAGCTATTAATGTTGACAATAAAAATCAAAGTCGGGGCGAAAAATCGGATGTAAAAATGTGAAGACCTACGTTCAATTAGTTCAACTTAGGTGTTTTCTTTAGTATAAACGTGCATGTGTACATAGGTTTTCATATATGTGCGAATGTTTGTCTATATAAATATTCATCATTTGTAAATATGTATGTACATATATAAATTAATCTTTTGTTGTTTTAAAAATGTATTCTTTCTTTATTTTGACTCTGACCCCGTTTCTATACCCTATATGTCTTTATTCATAAATACATATATACATATGTTACATATGGATGTACATATGTATTTTTAGTGAGATCCTAAATTTTTCTAAACTTTCAAAACTTTAGAGCTTTATTTACTATACATACGCACATATTTACATACGTATATGAGTACATATATGTATTTATAAATGTATGCATGCTTCTATAATGAGAAGCGAAAATAATAAGCTTTTATGCTTGCCAGCTGCCCCACTAGTCAACTGCTAGATGCTGTCCATGCCGGGCGCGCTTTTGAAGCACGGATAAAGTGGTACCGATTCACTCGAACGCAAATATATAGAATTGTACATGGTGCAGATATATACATAGTTTTCTGTACGTGCACGCATATAAATAAACGACGATAAACCGAAATAGGCTCGATATTTGTTCTTCGGCGAATACTCGTAAGTGAGCTAAAAATCCATGGCGTTTGCACGAAGAAAACCCCAGTAATTTGTTTGTGCTAAAATTAATATTTTTTAATAAATAATATTGAACACCAGAACTGATATGAGCAAATTATTCTCGATATATGTACATATATACACATATGTACATATGTATTTTTACATATAATACTTGTAGGGTACAGTAAATGTCCGCGTTACGGTTTGCCAACCTTGCTTTCGGCGCTCCGTATCAAAAATACTCTTGCATATGTAAATATGATTGACTTTTTATTAGCTTAAATTTAATTATTTATATTTCGGTTATATGCGGCTGTACAAAGAAGAATAAAAAAATGCAGTTATTGGATGATGGATGAACGAAATTTTGGAACATTGAGATTGCAATACATACACATACATATAAGTAGATACTATTGCAGTACTGTGGCCAAGACTCTAAAATCATGCTATTTATATTATTTAGAATTATTTTCTTTTTCTTTTGTCATTTAGACGCTGATAAGTTGCATACTGGTGTTTGACTTCAAAATGACATCTGTGTATGGACCTATTCCTGCAGGTGAGATCGCTCCCTCTGGTGAAACCCGCACAAGTCCGGAATCGGATGACGCAGAGAATATACCTTACCATGCACGTGAAAATGCTCGACCCTTTACTTATGGGAACCTTCCTGTGGGATTTAATACAAGTGACTTAAGCCATGTCCCTTCAGAAATTGTTGAAACACCAAGTGCAAGACGTATTCAAAGCACCTACAAAAACAGTCCTTCAAGCACTCGTAAAAGCACAAGACCCGGCATTTCGCCCTCTCGTCCTGTGCTAAGAAAGACGCCGTCACGTCAAGAGTTTGAAGAAATGTTGATGGAACGAAAAGAAAAATCTTTGCGGGAACAAAACAATGCCGCAACTAAGTTGGCGCAAGAAGCATCCATACAAAAGGAGTTCGATGAGCTGCATGAAAAGCTCAATAAAACCATTCTTTCTTCGCAAAATATAAATGGATCTAAACAAGACAAACACATTGACTTCACAGATTCAACAAAAACTTCTTTATGCCCTTCCCAAAGCTCAGAAAATGTTGATTCCCCCCTGCTTGCGGTAGAAAAGAAACGTCCGGAGACGCCAACGTTTCCGGTTGTTCAGAAGTTGGTCAACAGTGAGCGATGTATTAGCCCGTACCCATCAGGAACTGCAAAGTCCGTAACGTCTGGCGAGCAGGGGTTGATTGCACAACCAAGTATTACTCAAGATGTGGAGCCACATTTGGTAAAGTTTGCTAAAGATTTATCGCAGTTTTGGTACAAGCCGCATATGACTAGAGAAGAGGCTGTGATGTTGCTACGCACCGCACAGGTCGGGACATTTCTCATACGAAATTCAACCACATATCGTGATTCTTATGGGCTTGTGCTGCGGGTAGCGAAAGCTCCACCATCTATACCTAGTACATCAGGAAACGGGGATGAGCTGGTACGCCATTTTCTTTTAGAGCCTACGAATCGAGGCATTCGTCTTAAAGGATGCGCCAACGAACCTATATTTACGTCGCTATCAGCTTTTGTCTATCAGCACTCAATTAACAGTTTAGCACTGCCATGCACGCTTGTTATACCATATCAGGACTTGCTCTTGAATTCTCCCGACAATGAACTGATGTCCAGACAAAAACAGATTCTTGTACAGGGCGCTGCATGTAACGTACTTTATCTATACCAGTGCGATACGGAATCGCTTACTGGGCTCGAGGCCGTTCGCAAATCCGTTCATCAAATGTACTTGGATGCCAAATATTCCCTTCCAATAGAAGTGCATTTAAAGATATCACAAGAGGGCATTACATTGACCGACAACACCCGTAAGACGTTTTTTCGACGACATTATCCAGCACAGAATATTTCTCACTTCAGCATGGACCCAAATCAACGATTTTGGAGTGTCAATGCAACCGACGAAGGATTGCAGCGATCAGTCAACAAGTCAATATTTGCCTTCGTAGCACGTCCGCTGACTGGTACAAAGGACAACCAATGCCACATTTTCTGCGATTTAGCCTCCTCGCAACCAGCATCAGCAATTGTATCATTTGCCAATAAAGTTCTTCCATTAAGTAAATCCAGCTGTAAGATGCTATGAGCAAAACTAATGTTATATTTAAATTTTGTATTTATTTTAAAGATAGTCCGATGTTTTTATGATGTAGTGCACAACTAAAAGTAGCTAACAAAATAATCAAATAAATATTAAATAAATCAACCGTACTTTCTATACGCTTGAGGCCGAAAAGAGGTCAAAAGTCATTTTTGTGAGCGCCTTGGCTAATCTGAATATACTCATCAGATAGAGAATTTTCAAAATTGGAAGCTTTGAGGAAATCGAATTTTTACTTTAGAAGATATGAGCATTCAAGGCTGATAATATTTTCTGTGAGCAGAAATTCAGTCAATTTGTATGAACATAATGCATTTTTTAGGTCAAATAAAAAGAAGCTAAATGGCTTCGTATAATTTTTTTTTGTTTCGGTCTCTTTTCTTAGGTGTTAATATTGTTCATTGAATAAATTGGTTTCTTGGAAAGACTCCTAAAGAAATTTAATTTTTCAAACGATATATTTCTTAAGTATTTTTCAACTTTAATTTGACTTAGAAAAAAATGCTCTGAGATAGCCGCGAGACTTTCTTTTTGAAATTTGATTGGTAAATATTTCTTAACCTATGCATATAGGGGCTTATCTGCGGAGCTTTGTGACTGAATGACTGAATAAAACCGAGAAGATTACAATTACACTGAATAAAGGGTATGATAACGTTAACGTTACTAGTTATTTATTTATTGCATATTGGATTTAGTGGATATTAGAATATTCTAAAGGTGCATTTATAGTGGGATTACACGACTACTTTTTAGCAAACGAATCGTGAGAATAGAGTAAACTAGAGGGTAAACACCCTAGCCAGGCCCTGCTATGCTCATCTAGTCTTCATTTGCTTATTATGTTGGTACTGTTCTATACGAAGCCTTAACTTAGAAAATTAATAAAAACAACCAATAGAGTATTTTTTATTCTCTAAGGCAAACTTTGGGGGGCTTAGGGGCTCTTCGGCGTATTGTAGTAATTATCCAGCCATTGTCGATACAAAAACACAGCGTTTAAATGGGTTAGTATACTCTTTAAAATTGGTTTTCATATTTTTAATTTAAACTAAGGTTTTTATTGGTGCCCTATTCAAGTGGCGCGTATTGTAATCTCATAGGTATAAAGAGAAGGGCCAAAGAAATTTAAGCTCTACACGCTGAGTCTCATCTCTTCATAAAAAGAGCGGAGTGTTTACTCAGCTTGAATAAATATACTGGTATGTATAGTTACTAAACCGGTTTGACAAGCTAATTTTCAATTGTTACATTCTCATATTAAAACATTTCCAGTCGCTCTTAGTTTCTTATTCACATTATACGTTCACCACATCTCTGCTCTTATCAGGGCTCGGGAGACAAAAGCGCTCTCTGCTCTCGGGCTTCTCAATTAGAGAATAAGATTCGAACATAATGCTGATGTCGGGGCTACGTACGGCTACGAGTACCTACCTCGAATTTCAACTCACTCGGCTTACTTATCTCATTTGATTCAAGTTTTCAGCGGCAGTCGTATTCACAGCTTTGGAAGCGCCGCGTTTCGTGGTCCGTAGATTAGTAACACTAAAGGCAGGTTATCAACTAAGATTGGGTTTCGCCTCAGTTTAAAAGTTACTCATAATTTTGCCGATAAGTCAAGGTTATACAAAATTAAGAAACAAGTGAGTAATGTGTTGTTTAGTCTTTAAATTTAAAATTTCCCATACCTGAACGATATTCTGTTATTGTAGGGGACAAGGGATTTTACGGTTGTCAATGAAAACAACGTAACTTTTCTTAGCAATAAACAGTAGCTTGATGCAGATCACTGCATAGTAAAATAGTTCAACCGTGATTCTTACGAAGAAAGTAAGTACAAGGAAGAATAAGTATATATACATATATAATAAAATGTATAGTGAAAATATTTTGTATAGTGGGCTTAAAATTAAACAAGCTTTTCAAGCCAAGACATATGTAAATACTTTGCACCGGGCAGCAGGTTTCCGACAAATGGATGTATTGAGTTAGTTTGCATTTAAACAGAAGGACTGTACTTGTTGTATTCCTTCAGCTCAATGGTTCAGCCGGGCTAGATGATTATTCGTTTCAAATGTGGGGAAAAATTTAAATAAATTAACATCACATACAAAATATCTAATATGTAACAATATCCGTATCTTTTCAATTACAGACTACGATGAATAGGTATAGAATCCTCTGCCACTTGGTAATACTGGGTGCACTTTTGACTTTAAGTGCCAAAGGTGCTCCGCAGCAAGACTTGAACGCGGAGAAAAACATTCAAGAAATATTCAACACGAATATAGGAACACCAACAAACAATTCGCCGCCTCTAACGCAGCCATCTAGTGGAATTGGATTAGTAGTAACACCAGAACCAATAGATCCCTCAAGCCCACTGACGAATTTTGAATCTATAAGCGGAAAAACGGTCACTTGCAACTGTGTTCCCTATTATAAATGTGACCCGTCCACAAACAGTGTAACGGAGGACGAGTCGTTTGACGGATTTGGTGTAATCGATATCCGCTTTAACGACGACGATCCAGTCTGCCCTTCTTCTGTTGACATCTGTTGTGATGGGAATAGGACACGCTCTGAGACGCTGAACCCGACCCCGTTGGATAAACGACCGAACCAAGTACGGGGCTGCGGCATTCGCAACGTCGGTGGCTTGGACTTTACGCTCTCCGGTGTCACCCAGAATGAAGCAGGTTTTGGCGAGTTTCCATGGACAGTAGCTCTGCTGCATGCAGGCAATTTCAGCTATTTCTGTGCCGGTTCACTGATACACCCACAAGTAGTTCTGACTGCGGTGCACTGTGTCGAGACTCATAGTCCGGGGAGCTTCATGGTTCGAGCGGGTGAGTGGGACTCTCAAACAACCAAAGAGCGTCTTCCTTATCAGGACAGAGCTGTGCAACGTATTATTACACACCCACAATTCAAAAGTCGAAACATAGCTAATGATTTTGCGCTTGTAATTCTCGCTCAGTCGGTTACTTTGGATGATCACATCAATGTGGTCTGCTTGCCACGACAAGGTGAAACTGCCGCACCTTCCACTATCTGTACTTCTACTGGCTGGGGCAAGGACGTATTTGGATCTCCGGGAAAGTACAGTGTAATAATGAAAAGTGTGCCGTTGCCTGTCGTGGACTTTAACACGTGCCAAACACGGCTGCGGAACACGCGACTTGGCCCAAAGTTTGCCTTGGATAAGTCATTTATGTGTGCCGGCGGTCAGCGCGGCGTAGACACTTGCCAAGGCGATGGTGGTGCACCACTTGCCTGCCCCATTGGTCTTGCCTCAGAGAATCGTTATCAACAGAGCGGTATTGTTGCTTGGGGAATTGGCTGCAACGATGAGGTGCCAGCGGCATATGCTAACGTGGCATTGGCACGAGATTGGATTGATCAGCAAATGTTAGCCAATGGTTTTGGAACATCGGTGTACACCGTATGATAATTTTCTGAAGTTAAACTTTTCAGTTCAATTTTATAGTCGCCTGTTTCTTTGAAAAATGAAATTAAATTAAATGATCAAATTATAACAGCCTTTTTTTTTACTATGGATACATACTTTGAAGTTTAATTTTGCAATTCGATTACCTTTACTGTACTGTAGTGTACTATGTAAATCAAAGTTCCCTCTGTAGGTTAGGTTAGGTTAAGGCAGTAGCTGGGGAGAGGGAAGAACCTCCCTCCCAGCTCACTGAGGTATGCTACAGGTGTAGAGGTCTACTGTGGTCTTCTTTAGCCTGTTCTTTACTCAAAGACTCCAAGAAAAACAAATCTTCAGAAATTAAAAACTTTTTTCAAACAAAAATTGTTATCCATTTGGTGCCCAAAGGTGGAAATTGCCAAGTCATGATAATTTGACACAACATTGTCATTATACTAATCTTATGACCTTCCGCAGATCAGAGGAAGCTAAGGGTACCCCCATATACCATGTGAGAATTTCTACAGTTAACGTTGTCTGTTCCTTTTTTATGCTCTGGGAACAGAGCCTCTAGCTGCCGAGCTCTGTTTTCCAGCAAGTCCTTTCCCCATGGCAATGCCCCTTTTAAATTTTATGCCCATAATTTTTTCGGAAGCAGTTGCAACATACGAGTATAAAAAACTGCAATTAGGTTGTTGTGAGGAGCGGCTGAGCGCCTCTTGGGTGGCCGTGTTTTGGGTTAAGCACATGTTACAGTTACAGTCAGCCTGTCACCTTCAACTGCAGCAGGGAAGGGGGTGCTAAGGGGTGAGGGTGGACCAGAAAAATGAGACTCCACTTAACACCCGCACCAACTCTAACCGTTCCAAAGCAAGTGCAGGATACCCTATTCTTACATTCTTGCGGCCTCTGACGGCTTTTTGCTTCTCCGGCTGTCGCCGGTGTGTGTTCCAATGCCCTGCTAGTCAGCCACAGATGCTGGGCATGGGCATGAGTATGGGCATGACATCTGCGTGCGCGGTAAATAAGTATAATTGCAACACTTTGAGGGGGCATTTGAAGTGGCAAGAATTTTGACACCGTTTCGGTCTGAGGACGCATTTGTTTACATCTTTAATTTAATTTGTTTGTGTCAACATAGCTCTTAATTAAGCCCAGTCTTTTATATGTAGTACTTATACATACATGCATAAAGAACCGAAAAAAAGGAAGTTTCCACGATACTATAACGAATAATAGAAACCCATTGTTTCATTGAAATAACAGTGGTGGCTGGCCATAAGGAATGATTTAACAAAATATGGTCGAAATAATATACATTGCTCCTTCTCTTATTCCATTATCTAATTTTTCATTCACTACAATTCTCCTCCCGTTTTCTTTGCAAAAATCGTACCCAAACGATTTCCACATCCCCACATTCCATATATGTACTTTTCAACTACTACACTAAGGCGTTATACACTGTTAGACACACTCAAGTATACTCGTACAAACAATATATATCCCAGGCAGTTTACAGATCCAGAGATTTGATCAGGTTTCTATTGTGTATTTAATAAAGCTACACCTGTACTTGATATCATTTTTTCGATGTGAACGGGAGTCTAAAATAATAATAGAACGCATTTTAATATGCTCGGATTGAGGTTCATTAAGCCAAATAATGTTCGGTACTCATTTGCAGGGGGAATTTATTGCAAAGTGCTTGTGGCTATTTAATATTTATAATTGAAAAAGTTTTGTTGTCGTACCCACAGCCTCGCTTGAAGTACTTACTCTGCATGTTGGCCACTGCCGGTGGGTGCCATCCCATCCCTATCCCCATCTACAGCCACATCCGCCCGTCTAATTTCTCTATCTGGCTCTGGCTCTGTCTCTGTCTCTGTCTCTGCCATTGCCAACTACTAGCAGCCACTTATCATAATTAGACTTTTGCTGGTGGTGCAAATGAAGAAGTTTCACTTCAATATATTAACCATGTTTCCAGAGGTGCCCACTTCTGGCAGGGCGCAATTAACAACTCGTTGCCACTGGGAAGCGGGTGACCAACCGTCTGAAAGGGCTTGTCTTGGGTGGCCGTGGCCATTAACATTACTGCAAGGGTACGCATAGTAAGGACTGCCAAGTCCTGCCGACAAAAACAAAAAGTTATTCCCCAAGACATTTTCCTAATGAGAGGAGTCTTTCACTTGGGCCACTTCCACTAACACCTACGACCACTATGTGTGCAGACTTGCATTGGGTATAGTATCTATGCTTTCCATCATTATTGACGGACCTAATCAATTGCAGTCCATTAGTCTTTGTAGTTGGCTGCATGCAAACGACTTTCAAGCCCGACATCATCATAGGTTCAGGGTAAACGTAAGTCCGCATGGCTATGGCTCCGACCATATTCCTTCTCCCCAGCGCTTGGCGCTGTCTCTGGGTACTCGAGTTGAGCCTGCCACGAGCAGATCAAGCAGGGCCGACGCGTCGGAGAGTCAGAAACTAAATAGATTTCCCCCTGACAGCCAGTGAGCACTTTTCTCGATTGGACCTGCCTGTCACAGACATTCCTGTTTGGGTGCTCGCTCAATGCCTTTGTTGCAGTCGGGTTTCTGCCCGTTGAGCAATTAACTTTTAAGCTTGCAGCATGCGAATTACAATACTTAGGTGTGTAGGGGCAGTGGTAGAAAAGGTACTCGCTTGATACCCAGTGCATGTGGATAACAGGCATATTTATTATTAAAGCAAATTGTTGCAGAGACTACTTTTTAGAGGAGATTCGCCCCTTGTGGTCTGCATATTCTATATCCTTGTAGGAAATATAAATACTTGGATCGGGTGAATAGTGCCTATTGGAAGGCCTATTGTAAGCTCGAATGGGCAAAATAAGAAACTAGATTAACAGCAAGTGAAAACAAATGTATGCATGTACATACCTGTATAAGTCCAGTAAGATTTCCTGGTAGTATATATGCATACATACTGTATGTAATGGAAAAACTGTATTTAATACGTATATATTTTTATTACCCTGTTTCAATATTTAGCCCCAAACAAAAATAATTGTAAAACATGAAAATGGTTTACGCTGCCGAATTGGGTCCACTAAATAGTTTTAATCTGGTCTCTCATTAATCCTATAGAAGAAGTATTTTTAATATGTGCGCATTTGCTTTTAGAGAACCATTGGCATTGAAAACAATTGTTCGATTATTAATGGACTGGAAGTAACATTCACATTATTGAGAGTAACTAGCAGCTCATTTAACTATATGGCTAGTTATCCGAAAGTGTTTAACAGTTTCTAGGATCTTATGCTAAACTACGCTGGGAAGTGGGAGTGTCTAGCTCTCTTTGTATATGATACTCGTACTTTAATGGTAATAAAGACATGGAGCCTTACAACTTTGTTACCCTATTGCACTCGTACTATTATCCAAAGTTAACGGTATGAATGGGTAAATTTATCCAATGTATGGGTATTAGGCACAAACGAACGTAACTGTGCATCTGTAAAAGGGCTGAGCTCGTTGATACTTGTAGTCATCCCCCAGTAACCAACAAGTACCGGATCTAACAAACTCTTCCTGTTAATGTACCGTACAATTTTCTTTTTCTCTGTTGAATATGGCTTATGACTATCTTCGAAAATTACAGTCTGCTATGCATGTTCAAACATTTTACAGACATACATACGAGTATGTATCATGGTTTTAATAAATCAAAAACTCATATCTTAAACCATCGGATCTTGCTTTTCGTCTCGAAATATTTAAAACTTCTACACTAAGTAGTTAAACTTTTCTAGCCGCATTATACTGCGGAGTATGACTATGAATGCACGTAATGTTCATTGATCTATAAGTACGAGTATGTTTAAACTTTAAACGGGTAGTACATAGTACTCTCATATTGTTGATAATTGGTAATTCTGTGCTTACACCTAATACATATAGCGATAGCGATATAAACGTAATCACATCCTCTCATGCAGGACTAGCTCTGCATCGTAACTATGTTCGTACTGCTCCAAAGAGGTTGGTTCGTTTTGTTAACGGTTACAGGTTACAGGTTAGCCTCTAAACAGGAATTATAATTTAAAAACTCTGGCAATCAATTAAGATCTAGTTTCTTACAAAACGGGCTAATTACTTAGGAATAAACAAGTCTGGCAATATTTACAAATAAAATAGATCCTGTACAGCCGCCGCAAGCTCGACGCAATCTCCAAATGGAGTCGACAATATTGGTTCCTAGAAGCACTGACTGCGCCCGGACGCGCAAATCTGCAGACCACTCTCACTGTTGTTGGTTGATTTTGTAGATTGTTGGGACTCCTGCTCTGGCTGTATGGTCCCGAAGGACCTGGGAGATTTCAGTGTGAGCAGTTTGTTTGGCAGAGCCATTGAAGCTGGCCCTGGCGAGGCAGTCACGGTGATTGCTGGTATGTCCGGCTTGTTGCTGTTAGTGGGAGTCCCTGAGCGACTTGCTCCGCCATCGCCACAGGGGCTTGCCCTGGAGCCCATTGTCGCCGTCAGCGGTAGCATGTTGAAGCCCACGCCCATGTGAGACGGTCGCACTGCAATTGCGATCGGCAAAGAAGCCTTTCGGTTGAGCGAGTGTCACCCATAGAAATACTGAGCGCTGCTCTCTGTAGACACGCCCCGGGTCAGATTCCTTGGTACGGTGCTATCATAGTAGACCCCGCAGCCGCTATTCGAGGTTGAGGGCATGGCGGTTAACGGCAGAGGATGACCAGAACTTATAGAAGTCGGTGGTGGTGAGGGAGAGCTCATTATTCCCATGCTGGTGGGTATCAAAGTGCGTCGTAGAGTGTGGTGATGTCCAGCCACCATGACAGCACCGCTTAGGTACGCTGGGGAAACCGTGCTGAGTCCGGAGGGTCCAAGAAAGTGGGGACCTACAAAAACATTGTAACAATTTCGCAAATTAAAGTAAATAAGTAAATTGATCGTATCTTAACACGTTTTCTCACCCATTGTCAGAGGACCGTTGGTTGCAGGATGGCCCATGGTAGTGTAACTGTTGGCCTGTGAGTGCGGGGCCATCAGAACGGTAGTTGCTCCAGAGGTAGGGTGCGATAGTGCGCTGGGTAAACCAGCGTAGCTGCACTTGGGCGTCGGTGCGTATGTCATGTAGGTCTTTTGTTTGCCAGCCCATGCCCATCGTGAGTTTTGTGTGTGTTCATGGTGACGGCGCGACCATAATGGACATGAAAAGGGAGAGCAGAGTGGGGCATAGAGTTAGGCTGGCTCTCATTAGTGCCTGTTGCCGTTGGCTAGCATGACTTGGTCGGTTTGGTGTCAGTTGCGACAATTGTGGACTTTCAGCCCCTTACTCTATTCTGGGTTCTCCAATGGTTACTAATCGGCTAGAGTAGAACGGCTAGAAAAAGTTCTATCTCTACTTTACTCTTTGGCCTGATCGTCATCAGGCGATTACCTCAAACGATGGCCGATGATGAACGCTTAATTAAGTGTAAGTATAGGTATATAATCAAACGTAAGGAACTAAGAATTCCCGACTAAAAAATTGATGTATGTATAAATTGATCAAAATCCTGTCTTGGAGTAACTATGATCCAGAAACCGACTGTCCCAACCGAACTTTTTGACAGTATTTTCAGCACCATCAAGAATCAGATAGATAACAAATAGTGGGTTTAACACGAGTTTTTATACCATATAGGGTATGAATGGCCTGCACAGTGTGTTGACTACGAGACATAAAGATTGCATATATGTACATACATGTGTAGGTTGCATATATGTGTATATGTGCATCGGATCCCTGCTGTCCTGTTGTTTTTGCTCTTTTCCTCTCAGTACCCATGGAACAAACAAAGGGGACAGAAATTGTTGCAGCGTGCATTTGGAGCAAGGATGCTTCCACCTGGCAGGCAGGGAGGCAGGCAGGTAAGGTAGATTCCCAACGCTTTAAAATCCAGGGTTCTTTGTTTGCGAAAAAGGATTTAATGGCAGGAGGAAAGGAAATGCACTTGTGCCCACTTTCCCTTTTCCCTTTACCCTTTTCCCAGTCCTTCCGCCACAATGGTCTGACTCCCGCATTCATCCGCCCTTGCCTTTTAGCAACAGTAAGAAAACGAAGCATCCTCCTCACTCCCAACTTTCATCAGAAACAATGCTCGGCTTTCTTCAACTTTTGTGCTCCTACTTCGTCACACATGGTCGACGGCACCCACAATGAGATTTACATAATTATAAATGACTATTTACCTCCGACAATGGATGCTGTCCGAGACACTAATTGGGGTATGGGTAGCATGGGGTGGCATGTGGTAAGACTCTAATATTCGCTTTGCGGATGCAGATTATGTGATTTGAGGGATTGCTGCGAGCGTAGGATTGCTGACACTATTGTACCCGTTAAGGAAGGCAAAACACATATTCTTTTCGCCGCTGCGACGGAATTTTCAGTACTAAATAGACATCGAACCGGACAAGAATAAAATAAATACAGTCCACTAAAATAACATAACATCCCTCGAGCATATTATTCACGAACAGTACCACTAGACAATGCAGAAGTCAGTCGTTACCCGTCTATTTAGGGCTCATGCAACTATATACGACAATGTAACAATGTAAGACTGAACGAGACACAAATATATTTGCTCCGAAGTGCTATTAAATTCGGCGGAATGGGCCCTTCTGCCTGGTACATAAATAGGTACACATGTATGTACATTTCGTTTATACTACTGATATACTGATTAAACTAATAACGCTGACAACTGGCCGAGATAGCAAATTTAAGCATAGTAATTCATTGGGAAGAATGGGAAAGCCACTTACCTCGTTCCGAGACGATAGGCTGGGCAATGGCATCGGACCTGTTAAGTCGATGTCGGCGTCGATGTCAGATATGTCATCTGCGAAGGAGTCTGGAAGATGGGCTTCTCCTGGTGTCGTCTGTTGAAATTTGCTTGCACCTCCATTCCCGACACCTGTATTGCCACCTTGCGTATCGGCAAAGGATTTGGCGACCCCGCTGCCACTTGAGCTGCTGTTCTTCCGCTCACCCCGTCGTTTCTGCAGCGTGAGCCGGCCGATGACAAGCGTCAGGCAGAGGAGAACTCCAGCCGCCACCGATATGATTAGGTAGAGGTAAAATTGCTCCTGATGCTCTGCTCGCCAATAAAAGAACCAAATAAATACTACAGGCAGGGAAATTCACATCAAATAGTGTTAGTTGACTATGCTAATGATGTCGAAAGTTATAGTCGCCAGCGGGCACGTCCGCACGGTCGGATCGTGGCCTGTTTTAGTGGATAGGGCAAGGCGGGCTGAACTTTAACTCGTGTGTTTGTGTCAAGGGACATAAATGAAATGAAAACTTTTTCACGTGGGGTGGGGAGATGCAAGCTTGTGTGCCACATGTTTAGCTTGCTGAGTTGACTTTACTGCTTATGACAGCATTCGGTAAGGCCTTTCATCAGATGTGAAAGGGAGCGAGTCGTGGTCGGGACACTTACTCGTTGTCGGTCGTCTGCAGAGTGTTGGGACGTGATTTTACCGTGGTGAATGCTTTGAGGTGCTATCAGTGTTTGTGGATTCTTCAGCATTCATACATTTATTCCAGCGTATTGTATACGTGTTTTTGTAAGTACGAGTATGTTTATGTGTGTGAAGTAAAAGTTTGATTATTTACACATTTCGTGCAAAAGGTTTCGAGCCAAAACGAAAACGAAACGTAAGCCAACCGTGTGTATGTAGTAGCGAGTTGCGAAGGACATCCACACTCACTTCGTATATGGATATAGGAGCTCAGCCAATTTACCAAGAAACCAATGACCTCGACCCGCTCGGTTACGATGTCCTCCTCGGTACAGTTCAGTCCAATGACGCCCCAATCATCGACATTAACGCAATTGCGGCGGTAAATAATGTTTCTATCAGCGACGTTAGGTTCAGGTGTTGATTTTGAACTCAATTCAGAACCTTCGGTGTGGACATCGACTGTACCGATTTCTTCACTTGAAGAATTCGTGTTTACCGATTCTGCTATCTCAGTAACAAAGTCTTGGCTTAATGCTGATTTTATCCGATCTAGTAGTCGTAAAGATGATACAAGTCTTTCTGTGAAAGGAAAAGTGCTCTAGTCTCTATATCAGCTATTCTCCAAAACACATCATATCCGTATCAATGATGTATTTTCAGGCTTCAGGTACTTTACTTTTTAAATAGGGATGTGGTTTCCAATCAAATACTCTACAAAACTCCTTAAAAATTGTGCGACTTACCTTCCAATAAACTATCGTCCCGCGAAAGAAGTGGTGGTAGGAGTGTGCTGGAAGTACCGACACCTAGCGCACCATTTCCGAAGTCGAACGGCATGCCAACATTTGGAATAGCGCCTTGGAGCTTGGGGGCCGGCGGAATCGCTTCGGACTCTTTGTAGAACTGGTCTTCGTCATAAAGTTCATCTTGGTCCATGTCTAGCTCAGACTGTTGTGGCTCGTCGCCCTCCGGCGCAGTCTCGTAACGATCCTTCAGCACTTTGCGAGGAACTAATAGTGCGGGGAAACGTAAGCAAACCCTAATTCTCGTTCAAGATTTAAAGCCGTCAAGTACTTACTGCAGGTGTAGACAACCTTTAGGTACATCCGCACATCAGCTTTGCAGGGACGACCAAATGTACCAGCATCTGCGGTCACCGAGCAGCGTCTACGCCCATGGCAAATCTGCATCACTGTCTCCGTGGCGTACGATACTAGGCAAGCTGAAAAGTATTTTAGCAAAAGGCCACGCGTAACACCACCATGAAATCAGCACTCCGCAGATCTACTTACTCGGCTTGCCGTTGTCTTCGCTGGTGCCAGTGCCAGTACTTGCCCCAGCGCTCTGGCCCCCGCACTGTACGCTTTCGCGTTCTGTGTGGCCGAAGGAGGCGCTGTATATAGCAATGCGTGAATACGGATTGCACACAAGCGGCATATTGTCGTTCTCGCACGCCACCTTGCTGCGGAATTCGTCTGAGACATCGACATACACATCGTTCCAATCGATGGAATGGAGAAATTATGAGCCATAAATATATTAAAATAAAAGGTGCAAAATACATGAATACTTATTATTGACTATCGTACAACGTACATTGTACATATGTACATACACTTGTACTTATGTATATACCCCACATATACCACATAGTACATACATATATCTTCTTTACCACGAGTACTTCTGCAGGCATTGAAATTCTGCCAGTCTGGCCAGCAGCATATCGACTTTGAAATACTCGATTACGTTCGAAAATGTATTACTTGGTTAAAAAAATGTATACTAGTACTCATTAAAAATTACTGAAGCAGAGATTAGTTAATTAAGGACTCTTATTCTAGGACATAACTTTCTTCAAACTATTGCAATTAAAATATATTGCACTCTTCTTAGATAGTCCTTCAGTTCATGTAAATCCCCAAAGACTTCTAGTTCTTTATCTCATTTCTATCCGAAATGATCTCCAGTTTGAGCGGAATTGTACGGAAATCAATAAGTTAGGGATAGAGTTCATATATTCGTATAAGAAGTTATGAACTGAGCTACGGGTGTCTCGCAAAGGCCTATGCCCCAGTGGGGTGCGTACATTTGCTGTCCTAAGCAAGTGTCTGTGTCTCAGGGTATTTGTGTTGGTATATTATGTATACGCACAAATGGAACTTTCAACGCCAACAGAGCGGACTGGGATAAAGTTTAATAAATTTGGTAAATATTTGGTTAACTGTTGGGGTTGTGCCTCTGCCCGAAGGTTTTGCTCGCTGGTCTCTCCACAGGCCTTAGGGGCACGTGCTCGCACGCCCTCGTGTGCTTTCCGCCTACCGGGGTAGGCGACCTATTGAAAGCCGTGATTCCTTGGTTCTTCGGAGAGTACACGTTTTATTACGGCTAAACGTGAGAAAAGTTGAAAATTGGCATTTTTTATGACCACAATGTGCCGCCCGCACAAACCACTCCCCAGACGCCCCTTCCTCTAGCTTCTTCAGCCGGGCAGCTGGTGGGAAGTCCATACTTCTGCTTCTGGCTGCCCCTGACTGCCTCTGGCTGCTTGGGTCGTGCAGCTAAGGATGAGTTTCCGCATCAGCCTCATCCGCATAGTACGGTGTAGCAACATCCAAAGCCAAAGCCAAAGCTAGGCGGCTCGGCCCCTTCCATTCCACGCACATAACCCGGCCGTTATTTTTCAACGTTTCCCACTCGTACTTTGCAGTTTTATTACTTGTCGCTGGTGTCCGTAATGAGCAAAAGATAACAGACAATTTAGGGAAAAAAGAGGAAAAAAGAGTCTCCTTAATTACATTACTCCCGTCTCTCGCTGCGGCCCCATGCCGATCCTCTCTTGTCGGTCGACGGTTGTCGCCACCACATCCCTCCGCTGAATCTTAGTCCTCTTCCCATCCTGCCTCTGCCATCTAGAGAGCTACGTACTCGTACTTGTACATGTGGCCGTGGCCGTGGCTTTTTTCTGGCCGTTCTGCACTTCCCTTTTCTAATTTGACTGCCGTGCTGGTGCTGCTGCTTCCCTCCTTCCCTCGCCAGTGCGCTTTTTGTGTTCCCTCTGGCTTTGGTGTGTTTGTGCTCTTCTTAACGAGATAACATCTGCTTCACTTGACACAGAAAATAAATAGGAAGTAAAAACGGTGCCGGGTCTGGCATAAATTACTAAAGAATTACATATTTACTAGCTCCAAAGCAGTACCTTCGCGTTGGAGTCGGCGGCCAGCCGTACACAAAAGTCGAATACACAGCATCCAAAGGACATCTGCATTTATCGGAAATGCGTTTGCCGTGCTGTGGAGCGCATTAAGAGCTCGTTTATCGCGCACACGGACCACTCCAAGGACCTGGGATTGGCCGGAGCAGGTGTCTACTAGTACTTGCCGGCAGCAAGTGACAGGTAGCAAGTCACATCAGTGCGCTTATCGCCTCCGCTCCAAATGCTCCGGGCCCCCGAGTGAGTAAGCGCGAATGGCCAAGCGGATCGTAAATAATCGGGGCCATTAGCCCCTTAGCTGTGGAGACGGAGGCGAAGGCAAACGGCGTTGCTCAAATGCGCTGCGCCAAACTATGCAAATAGTTTAGCAAAAAGTTTACACAACTATTGTTAACGAGCGCAGCTGCATCGCTCATTATGCTCTCAGCATAATCAAATCGGAAAGTCCAGAAGCCAGGATTATTGCAGCCAGTGGCCACGGCCACCCGAAGACAATTCTCCCTCTTGCTCCCTGCACACCTAGCAGACCTTTCCAATAAAACCAGCATTAACTAGAGACCGATATCCGACTAAAGGATGTCTGCTAACTGATTTATGTGATTTAAATAATTAAGTTAAACCTTAAATGTCTAGAAAGCGTCTCCCAAAATGCCGTAATACAATATAACACAAGATAGTCCCAGTATGGCATATTCTCGCCTTAAATACATTGACTTTATATTGTGTGAGTACTGTCTGAATCGCTGAAACAGACAAATCAATTCTTAAAAATATACATTCGTATGGAGAAGTATACAAATACTCGCAGCTTCGAACAGACAAACGAAAGGATTGCCATGGACATGACGTGGATTCATCGAATTAAACCCTCTACCCTCTACTCTAGGTATTTAAATATTTGAGTGATCTGTAAATGATAAATCCGATTTATAGAATGTTGCCGAAGGTTTCGTTTGCCCCCAATTTAACGACACCACTGCCATATTGTTCATCTGTTTCAGCCGACGTAAATTTGTTTGTTTGCTTAAAAACTTAAATTGATATTTGCCACTTTTGCAGCAGACAAATATTTATCTTATCGCACAGCAAATAGTATATTTCATGTATGTTGTCGGCGAGGACGGACGAGGACGGACGAGGACGGTGTCTGCAGCCTGGCAAGTCCTGCGCCTCACTCGACATATTCCAATCGATTGCATCCGTAAAGGAATGTGCATATGCACACACCCAGCACACGCCCACACAGAGCTCTTACTTGGCTAGGACTACGACGAGTAGTAGTATTGTTTGGGCCTCAGCCCGGTGCTGACTAGATAGAAGCTGTAATACTTACATGGACGGCATTTGTAGGCAATCTCGACGAATTTCCGTATGCCCGAACAGGGATCTCCACTAGAGTGCGTTTTGGAATTCGCGGCAAACTTGCAGTGCCGTTTTTTCTGGCAGGCATCGACCACCGTCTGCAGGAGGGCGTACTGTAAGAAACCAGACAGAACAGCATAAGAAGAGATGTATGACAGGGCGGAAGGTATTGCAGGCGGATTCGATTGGGATACCAATGTTCGTGCATTGGGCACATCTGTCCCAATACGTCGGTGCTGGTGGCAGGGATGGGGGTTCCGGAGGCATTCTTGGAGCGGAGCCAAGGCAACAGTTTCAGAGTACACTCGTAAATCCTTGCACTCCCAGCGAACTAAAGCGAGGCTCAGAGATTAAACAATATTTTATGCGATACGAATCCAGCTGATACTGAGATGAAATGATACTCTCCCTGTTACATAATCGAATAATCTGGCGATGAAAATACGTTAAGTGGCAGCAAATGGTAATTGAATATTTCTCTATTTTCTCTAAATTGGACTGTAACTGATGTACGTATGTAAATATAATTGCCTAAGTCGGCGATAAATGTGTAATTACAGAGGTGGCGGATAGCACCTTTGCCACAGAAGGAAGCCGATCATTTACGTTGCTGTAATCGTCCGAGATTCATACATAAGAGTATGCCTATTCATCATATTGAATATGATAAACCCACAAGGGCACACGGAGTTTTGCCATATCAATACTAATCATTCCGGATAATTGACATGTTTCCGGTTAGGTCTATGCAGGAAAGAGAGGCGAGGAAAGGGCAGTGCTAAACTTCCTGTAATTCGAATAAATTAGGTCGATTTTTGGGGGTGCACAATATACATACAAGCATATGTATGTATATCTACCAATAACTATTGTGTCATCCCTCTAGTACTGGCGGTGGCGATTGACCATGCCCGAACTACTGATTTGGCTGGTTCCTACATGGGTACTTTCCGGACTAACCCTATGGTAAACGAACGCCGAACCACTCAAAGAAGAGACAAAAATGTTGCTCTGTATACTCTACAACCCACCGCGCACCAGCCACCGTACTAGTTCGGTTGGGATGCAACGTCTCACCAGTAGACGAAAAAACGAAAAAACATGAGAGGAAAATGAAGAGAGCAGTTAGCTAAATATTATGCTGATCTGCTCTTCTCCTTTCCCTTTTCTGTTTTCGGTCATTTCATTGCTAGAATGTTCTTTGCGTTTGGCGTTTGTGCGGCTGTCCAAGTGATTATAATTATTCAATTTTAAACAGTTATTCAAAGCAAATGTATAGCAAACGGCATTTGCGTAGGCTCAATAAAGAAATATAAGATAAATATGCAGCCAAACATAATCGTGCTAGCGGAGAAACAGTGTCGTGCAGTGAAATAGAAAAAGTTGAAGGTCGCGAAATAGGAGAGACAATCGACGAAAATGAAACAAATGGAAAGCGACACTGAAAAATTTAAAGAACTTCTTTAGAGTTTTGATTGGTAAGCTTATATGATTTTGGTTTTTTTGTATTCCTATTATATATGTATTTTATATTTATAGATGCCATAACCCTAGATACTGGATCAGCTGAAGTCCAGATTAGGAAAGCCCTACAGCTGCAAAAAAAAACGTTTTTTCAAAAACAGTACCACCGCGAACAGCAGACCTTAATTAGTAAACTTAAAAACTTAAATGAAATATGTATATAATAAAATCAAAATTTAAATATGAAATTAAATGAAGATTGATAACCTACTTCATGGGTACCCATTTCACTAGCTACTACATGTGTACCCATTTCACTAGCTACTACATGGGTACGCATTTCACTAGCTACTAGACGAGTACCCATATCACTAGTTCGGGGGTAAACGAAGTGGTGTCGCTGGTCCCCATGTCGTAGGACATTGCGGGTAAAAATGGAAATGATGAAAAGCATTGCTAAGGGTTAGTAAAGAAAGTACCCCTGGTCTGTTAGGGAGTGGTGATATCACCACCTCCGAACTAGTTCCCAGTACTGCTGGGATTGTCAAGACAAAACCTGGGCTAATAATTTGTTTGCTTGTTTTGGTTTGTTTGAGAAGAATGATATGTGCTCCAGCCATTCCTCTGTCTGTAGCACATCTCCCTTCAATGAAACGTGGAGCCTGCTGTGCTCGGGATGGGTATGCATAAGCTGTTGCTAATGCTTTGTTATTTGGCCGTCAACCGTAGAACTTTGGTTCCGGGTTATGCACCCTCCGGGACTATAGTGTAAATGCCTCTGCTCCTCTCAAATTGGATCGTCTTCTTTAGGATTTGTCGTTGGATCTGCTTCCTCGCAGCACTTAGCCACACATCCCACATGCGATACAACGACACACTCAGACATTGGGAGCGACATTGACTAACTTCAAATTGATGTGCCTAATGAAGCGCAACAAGGGCGAGCGGCACACACATTAATCAGTGGGATATGGGATATGCTTCGATGTGAAACTAACCACGACATCGACTGCACTGACACTGATACTGGCACCACAGACAAAGACGAGGAACGGGGAGCACTCGTATGGTAGTTAAATGCTTGTATATTATCAAAAAATCAAATGAAGTCATTGGCCGACTCGTTACAACGTCCTGCAAGTGGTCAAGAAATGCATTCGCATATAAGAGAGTATTTTATAATTATTTTTAATAGTTGGTTGGGCTTAGGCCATGCCTTCGAGGAGCAGGCCCTGGAGTGGGCTCCACTCCACAATTGCTCATACGAGAACAAATGATTTATCCCTTCGCATTGGCCAAAGTGAATCGAATCGATTTTTATTATGAATTATTGCTGTTTTTATGGCATCGTTCTACTTCGCTGATTTATTTATGCTGTCTCCACATGTGCGCGTGGTCTTTTTATGGGATACGTGTGAGAATGTCTTTGAATGCCATGCGGAAAATGGGAAAATAAAATTGGGCACAAGGGTAAGGCGATCCGCTGTCAAGTGGCAACCAGCTACGCTGACCATCCTCATCCCGAAGCGGCTGCATCATACACCAAGGACAAGCCTGTGCCGCAGTGCGGTCAATACTGGCCATGCTTCCGTAGCGTCGCGTTGCGTCTCCTCCTGCCATGCCTGCTTTCAGCCTCGATGATGAGTGCGACGATGATGGAATTGCAATTATACTGATTCTGCTTACCTGTAATCCGCTTACTGTACACGCTTCCGGCGGTTTGACTTCGATTTCTGTTCCACTGTGGATGACAGCATCGCCGGCACTTCCGGTCGTGGTGAGGTCCTCTTGCGAAACGGGTGGACACAGGCTGTGGTCGGTTAAATCTGTTCAAGTGGACGAGAGCGGAATTTTGTTTTTGTGAACGTGTCGTGGACGATTTCGGAATGCTTTTAAGTGGAGAAGGCAGGTGTACGAGTACGCCAAGGGAAAGGGAGACAAGAGTGGGACGAGTGGGCTGGAGTGACACATGCCAAGTGGACACAAGTACCATAATAGGAGCATTCAATGCAAAAGCTTCGTCGAAGCGTCCCCCCTGACCACAAGAGCCCAAGAGTCCAAGAGTCCAAGAGCCCAACCTTTCTATATTTACTTCACATACGATCGCCCGATACTTGATATGGGCGTGTGTATGGACCGGCTCGTTGTTGTTTGGCCCATGTTCAAGGGACATGGTAGTGGTGGAATAATACATCTCCAAAGCTGCCCATTTTGTGTGCCAGCGCACAGGGACACAAACACGTCCATTTTCCCGTTCCCGTTCCCATTCCCGTTTCCCTTCCCGTTCCCGTTCCCGCAGGCAAGTACAACACAATGCGCACAATCGACGCGTGTAACGGACAAACTTTGGCCAGCAATCAATCAATTGAGACATTGCTGCCAGGACGAGTCCGGCCCGTCCACTCCTTGTCCAGTCCACTGCCGTCTGCAGGACTGTCTCTGCCGCACGTGCCCCGACTTACCTCCCGCCCGTCCGTACTGAGCCAGTTCGATAGAAATGCTGGTGCCGCGTGGACAACTGAGTGACAGCTGCTCCGAGTCGCATCCTGCGCGCTGGTACGTTCTCAAGGTGGCGGCCAGGAGAGCTGAAAACAAGCAACGACAAAGAATTGAAACTTATTAGATGATACTAAAAAACCCATACATATAATCAAAAGAAAACACAATTTGGGAGTCAACAAGTCCACAAACTTCAATCTTTAAGCATACACTATTTGAAGATTTCTGAATCAAAGAACGTAGGATAGGCGAGTATATTTCACATTCATGTGTGCAACCGAAAGTTGCCTTCAAAAGTAAACCTAGAAGGGAAGTCTTTACTTTCACCGATTTCTGTACTATCGTGAATAGCTCAAGAGTATACATAAATAAAGGAACGAAACGAGTGCGGTGGCACTGGAGTTGCGCGGTGCGGAAGCAGAAGCAAAGAAATTCGATTTCCACTATGCAGTCGTTCCGTTTCGCCTTCAACTGAACTGACACTTGACACCTAAGCAAATTCAGACATTCAATTTCATGTGAAATTATTTCCGAATATTCTTTCGTGGCGCTTGACAGCAGTGTAAACAAGATAGAATGACAGAAGCTGAAATTGCGCGGCTACAAAATACCCGGCACTAGTGCCAAGAATCTGCAAAGCCCATCCGAAATCCGATAGACTGTGGTTAAGTTTTTAATCGATACATGAGATGTCCAGCCGTTTGGTCTGCTGCGCAGATTTTCGGAAGCCCAGCAAAGCCCACGGGCTCAGAGAGTACAGGGTATAGGAAATGGCTGGTATTTGTTTCTGTTTATTGTGCTTTCCTCGCAGCCACTAGCTCCTAGCACTGGTAAAGCATGGGAAAGTGGTGTGGTGTTCTTGGCCTTGTCCTCAACGCTTCCTAGCGCCTCTGACTTCATTATTCAACTCCTGGGTAGGTGCTTCTGAGTGTCGGCTTCTTCATCAAATAACGCACATGGGCCGCCCACGCGGATGATGTCAGGGACGGACGTAGGGCCAGGACCGCCTAGCGGAAAGCGCGAGCTGAAGTAAAATATGTACGAGTACGCGCACATGGCACGAGTATTAAGTAGTACATACCAATATCTGAACGCAGATGTGTGTACACTTACGATACTCGTATATGCACGAGTATGTATAGCACTGCTTTTGTAGAAATCCATTTTTCGATGTGAACTACAATAGAATACTGCGAGCAGTGTGTTGAAAATCCATTCGCAAAAGCAGCCGCAGCACCATCAACAATCCCCCATCCCCTCATCCCATCATCCACCAAAGAATTTCCATAGTATATCTATATGTCTGTATAGACACGTATTTACGGACAGATGTCTGCAACTGACAGATTTGGCTACATCCTAAGTAACCTCGTACATGGGTATATAGCCGATATGTAGAGAGCCTTTAAGAAGATAATGCGGAGACCGAGATAAGACAATCTGAGCAACTTTTGAATGGGTCATCTTGTCCGATATTTTCTGCACACATGTGTGGTTGTGGTGTTACGTAAAATGGATTTACATATACCCGAACACCGTCTTCTCTGATTCAAGTGATCGACTACATACTCGTAATCCCCCGTACAATGAACATACCCGCATATTTATATGTACGTATACATTTGGCGGGGAATCGGTCCGAGTACGCTATAGATGCCAATCCGACTGTAAGATAGCCACGAACTATCCAGACAAAAGTACGAATTAGTTTGCACCGCCACGTCTATAAATATTAGAGAGTTTTCCTCAATCGTAATGTAATAATTATCGGATACCGTCAAATTTTAATAGAACGGTAGATAATATCTGTAGCCTATAATGAACCTGTGATATTAAACGCTCTTGTATATTTGTGAGTCAGCTCCTGTGTACCTACATATGTGTACAAAATGAAGTACAAATAGTGTAGTGTGCGGATAAAGGATGGACACAATTGCATCGGAAATCAAAGCACAACCTCTAAGCAATGCCCAACATAAATGTTCTAGTACATGTACACATGTTCTGACTACATACTTGTATCTTTTATTGGTTCAATGCGGTGTGCCTTGGAGTTCTTGCAGTATTAACGAAGTGGGTTAGTGCACCAAGATTCTCTCCTTGCGATTTCTTTTTCGACTTGCGTCCTGGCGATCAGTCAATCACATATGTATCCTATACGTACAATATAAGTTATACGTAATTATAAGTAAGCGCCGATGACTGCTGCATGCTCTGTCTCTGCCTTTTGGTTTCGATTTTCCCAAAATGGATAGATTTATTTGTTGGCTAATGTAGGGAGGGGGAATTTCGGTAGAATAATCAAGGCAGACCGCGATCTCTTTAAATTTTTGTCGTGAGCGATGGGGAAAAGTAGAGAAAATGAGAGGAATGTCGACCGCTAATTTATTTCACTACATCTATCTCCCTTCTCAGGAAGGTGCACACTGGGTGAGGAAGAGTGTGTGAATTTCTCGTCATTTGTTCATTCTGGCTGTAATAATCATCAGATCTAATCGAGATTCTCTACGTGACGATTCTGAAGATATGGTCATTGTATGATTCTGCTTTTGATGCTGATCAAGATCACATCCACATCCACAAACTAGAATATCCTTATAATCTTTGAGTACCCACCGCTCCCTGTAGTGCCGGTTAGCTGGTTGTAGCACAAGACGAAGAAGTCTTTGTACCGTCCTAAAGAATATTACATCTGAACACCAGCGAGTGGAATTCGCAAAATGTATACGTACAAAAGAAAAATATGTTAGAGCAACAATATTGATGGCACTGCTGGAGTGGGTAATGCCAGTGGGTAATGGAGGCAAGGGGCCCTCTAAAGTGTCCAGGATAAATTCGCCTCCATTCCGGACTCATCTTCAGGCGATGTCGCCTTAAGTTGGAGTCTGCAGCACATGCCAAGCCCTTGACAGCGCCGTGTGAACGCCGCAAAACGACAAGAACCTTTCTTTTCAGTGTTTCCACGTACACGCCAAGACGAAAATCAGAGCGCATCTGAAAAGAAGTGACTTGTAAACTGGCTGGTAATTCCAATCTCCAAATCTATTACTTCGCCACTCATTGGATTATATTACAAAAAACTGATCACTGATTCAATTACCATTGACCCTAGTTAAAATTGCGCTTATTGGTGCATAGTTACAGCAGGCAGAGTGTTCTGAGTATGATCTTTCGAAAATAGGGACAGTACAAAGTATTAGAGATCAGCATAAATGTCCGAGCTGCTCTAGATGTGTCTATCTGGCTGCGTAACAACAGACAAAGGTCAAGAGCGAATTGTGGTGGCAACATCAGATATTGCTTTTAATTTTAGCCATATTTTGTAGCATACGAAAATCTAGGAAAGGCGAGTAGTGTGAATTAAATAGACGGCAAATTGACTCCAAGATGAAGTAAAAACATATTCGTGCCACGAGTAGTATATGACAATCAAGCTCATAACTTTTCGAGTGTCTAAATGAACATACACTCTGCTCTCCGATTCCGCTGTCCAGTTAATTAATCTTGTTTAATTTATGATTGTTTGTTTGGACTCCCCAATAAATCATTAATGGAGAACATTCATAAATATTTGGTGGCTCTCACATTCAGATCTGCACCGGAAAACTTTAGCCGCATGAGTTAATTTCGCTACCAGGAGCTGAAAACGGGTACCACGGGGAGGACAGAGACATACCACGGAGGGGATCGGGAAGGGAAGATAGGGGCAACGGCAGCTGGACACCACTTTGAGTGGATATTTGCGCTTAATTATGATTTATACATAAATATTTGCCAGAACAGAACCCAATGAGCCGGCAGTGCGCCCACTGGGTCGAAAACCCGAGGCGCAGACGAGGAGGCTTTGTGCCCCACGGAGCTATGTAAGTTTGGGTGGCAGTGGCAACGGCAACGGCAGCGGCAGCGGCCAAAGACCCCTGCATCTCTTACTTATTTTTAGCTAAAAAGCGCCGCAGGACTCGGGAATGACAGTGGGGGCAAGGACCGCCGCAGATAGAACGCAGAACGAGCGCAAATTTGTATGTTTGCATGATGCCGCCGCTTTTGTGAGAGCTGTAGCTGAAATGTGGAAAAAAGGAGAGAAATAAAACAAAGCGTTTACCCAAAGGATCAACTCGATAAATAACTTCCGGCATGACGGGCCGCGTCAGCAGGCACACAGCAGCCAGGAACAGGGCTGTCCTGCTCCAAACATGGTTCCAGGAGCACGGGCAGGAGCAGACCAACTGCACGTGCCGCCAACGGGGAGGTCCAGAGCGGTCTTGCTCGATCTGTGGCGGGAGGGCTGGTGATGATGCTGGGGCTCGGGCTGGGGCTGGGGCTCGGGCTCCCAGCTCCTTTAGATGCTGTAGATGCTGTGCCAGCTTTTCCATTGCCACCGGCCACAGTTGCTGCTGCCCCTGTTATTGGTGCTGTTGTTGTTGTTGTTGTTGTTGTTGGTGCTGTTGCTGTTGTCGGCGCCTCGTGCTCGACGTATGGGCAACGCTATCGCTGTGTAGCGTCTGCTGCTGATTTGATGTTCTTTATGGCCGCTTTTATTGTGCACCCTCAGATTTGGCCATTTATGTGTGTATTTTGAATTTTCATATTTATGGCCATCGTCAGCGGCCAAGCGTCGAGTGCGATATGATAGCAACTGCCGATGCTTCTGCTCATGTCCATTCTCACAGTCGACGCTACCGAGGGGACCTCAGTAGCAAGTGGATTCTGTATACATATGTATGTGTGTGTGGATGTGAATGTACGAGGACGATTATATTGCACTGGTCGGAATTCGTGAATGGGCGCCTATGTGGGGGTGGTAGCCTTTACTCCGTGTTCTCTGAGTCTTTTTTTCCTTATTTTTCACTTTTTGCTTTCTGTTTTCTGCTATTCGCTTTATTTGTATTATCTTTACTTTTTTGCGGTGGTCGTTTTTTCACTGAAAGCAAAACAATTAATTATATTTCACACTCGCTTTTTGCACTTTTTTTGCCTTTGTTTTTGCACTTCTATTAATTTATATTTTCGAGTGTACGCACACTCGCGCAAACAATTCATTACGCGACGCTGTTAACTCGATTATTTAAAAAAAGATTAAAAAATATGTACATATTCGCTGGAGCTCGCTTCCATCGCTTTTTATTTGCTTAACGATGCTGGAAATTATGGCATTATTTGCTTTTCCAATTTCACTCGGCGTCTTAATTGGGTTTGATGTTGTTTATTGAATTTCAAATTAATTTTAAATTGAAGCAAATTTGCCACTGAAATCACATTTAATTAGTTCGGTTAACAATTCAATGCCTTTTGACTACACTCTTTTCTCCGCAAATCCGCTCCGCTCCGTCCTTACGCCCATACAGTACGTCCATAAACACATACATGCACATACACATACACACATACGTGTGCACATCGTACATCGTACCACAGCTTTGACGGGGATTATCGGAATAATCCCCGCCAGTAGCCGTGGCCTCGCCTTCGGCCGCACCCGAAGCTTAGTATTGTCACTGAATTGTGCAGTTCAGGTTGAATTGCTTAAGCCTCTGATTGGCTTGAACATGTCTTGTGTCTTTATGTTCGAGTACGTAATTATAGTAGAAAGCGCCTGCATCGCATTCCTCGTGGGAGCTAAGCGGGGAATGAAAAACAGGAAAGGACTTTCGTTTATCTGGAGAACATTAGATATAATCATCCTTTATAGAATCAGTCGATCAGCTGAGAAGCCTAGTTGGATTGCGCAACAGTTACATAGGAACTGGATGCATCATTAGACTTAATGAGAGCCAGATTTTATACATATTTATGTACATATATGAGTAGGTGAATTGGACTACACCTAAAACTCCATCTACCCTTAGCAAGACCCAATCGAACAGAAACAAACTAGATATTTCTTCCCTGTGAAGCATACTCATACGACTTTTTGAGTATTAAACTCGGCTAAATGTATTTATCAGCCAGAAGGAGTCGTTTCCGACCATAATCAATAGCCATGTTTGTCCGTCCGTCTCGCTAGTCGTCAGAGACTAGATGAGAAACTAGACTTTAGTGTGCAGACTCCTCCTATTATACTCTTTTATATCTCAGCTTTAAAAACATCTCCTCATTCCAGCAATGGGCAATATATTTTTACCATATTAAATACTTTTGGTAAAATCAAACGATGTTTTTTTTTCTTTTTAAATTTTGTTTAAGGAAAATGGGGTCTTATCATACATGTCTTCATCTACCGTGAATAGAATGTCGAGCAGAGATCCCCATGCGGTTCCGTTAGATTAAAAGTACACAAAAAGTATCAATCGTGCTCGTTTAGCCATGAAATTTAAACATTTATGTAATAACACAGCCAGAGGGGCACCTGGTCAGAGTCCGACCGATATGACGGTGAGTAATGGGACAGTTTAAGAGTAAACCCACGCACACAGATCCAAAATACAAAAGAGGAAGTATCCTTTGGGTTGGCCGGCTTTGAGGTTGTAACGTCAGTCAAGGGTGCCACAAGTTTGCCCAAACATTCATTAACGGACACTTTCTGATAGTCCGGATAGGGTTGTATTCCGACGGATGAACTGATGAAAGGCAAACAAAAGTACGGAGGGACGAGTATAATGCGTGCGGACACCAAATTATCCTTGGTATCCTTCAAGTTCTATGCACGCCAGCCTCACTCAAGCTCTCAAAAACGTATGGTGTCGAATACGAACGAGTACACAAATATGTATACATACGTCTATGTACATACATACGTATATATGTATGTAGTCCATGCACACAGCCAGCGCAAAAACTCACTCACAGTCATGAGTACGCTGTCCTCCTTTGCTGGAAAAGGCTCCTCTAGGTTGGCCTAATGTATTTCTTAGCGTTTCCTTATTGTTCGCTTGCTTGCAAGAAAGCCAAAACCGCAAACTTTCAAAGGCAAACTTCATATTTTGCAAACTGTGCGGAAAGCACTTCTTCTCGTTCCCACAGCCCCTGATGGAGCTGGTAAGCAAATGCCCTGGCTAGCCCCAAATGCTCCGCCTTCCCAATGGGGTACCCGTACCCGTACCCGTACCCGTGCCGGGCACCAATGCAGCACTGCCAGCAATGACACCATTATGGCTCCAGTGCAGCTCGAAGCTCGACTTGGGGCTGCCATCTATCTGTGGGATACTTCCTTCAGACGTTATAGAGCTTTGGCTGCGTTGTCGTTGCCGCTGTCCCTCATAGTGATGAACTTTTTTGCGGAGCTTGGTTATGGCTCTGCTGGTTTTCATTTCCCACAGAAATTAATATGCAAGAATATTTTGGCCTCCCTTTAATCGGTGTAAAGAGCCCTCGTGGGAGTTGTATCCTCTTTGAAGCTGGAGCCTTATGATTGAGAGTGCGGAGCCCCCTCCAGCCCCGGCAGCAGCTCCAGTTCTAGTGGCAGCCACAAAGGCGAGGTCGAGAGCCAGCTCGAAGCTCATCGAACTGCAATCGAATGCTCACTCGAACACAACACTGATGTGGGGGCAGGCTTGGAGATGAGATGGAGATGGAGATGGTCGAACGCCCCTGTTCGTTTTTCAGCATTATCAAGTTGAGTTTCATTTGCGGATTTGCTAAACGGCACGAGTACTCGTATTTGTCTGAATTTATTTAAGCGGAAAGCTGCGTCCATAATTTTCTCAACTTTTGTGCTCAGTTTAATTTGGTGGAAAATTGAAATCATATTGAAATTTGCCAATCTGCGGTTTGCGGCCAACTGTCCATCAGGCCTGAATTTGACTACATTTGTTTGCCTTTATACTCTTTCAGCGGGTACGGAGGGTATCAGAGGGCAATTTATTATATACTATGTATATTCGGCAGGCTGCACTCATTTATTTTAAAACGAAAATAACACCTCGACGGTAATTTGTTTGTGTCAAACCATTTCTGGCGCCAAGGTTCGCCAAGGATCCACCTACTTCTTGCAAAAGTGCTGCATGTTTTTGGAACCTGGACAGTTGGGAGAATTGAGAACTTCAAATATTTTTGACATCTGTTTCCATATCCGTATATAGTATACCATTCATCGCCATGTGCCCTCCGAAATAGCAAGGAATTGCATACATACATATGTATGTATGTATACGAGAATTCTTTGATTGATGGTCTTGAGGGCGGGCCCGGCCCAAGGCCCCGCCTGATAGCCGAAAAGATAAATGTACGCAAAAAGATCAGGCGCAGCTGTCAGAGAGAAAAATCAAAGTTATCAAAGATATGGCTCCACGGAAGCCAACCCTTTCGGCGCGTGAAGCATCGGGCATCGGGCGGGAGGGAGGCGGTGATGATATGAATGGCCGAAATGGGGGCGTCAGAGGCCAGTTGGACGGCTAGTACGGTAAATATTTATTAGCTCAATAATTTGGCAACATTTCTGCAGGATAAATGTGAAAGTCCCTGCGCAATAAATTGTTCCCAGCCGCACACACTCGTATTTATGTCCATACGTAGCAATAGGTATACCTACTATACGTTTCATTAAATAAATAAAGCAAGATGAAGCTGGCTGGTGTTGGGTGTGCGTTCTCGTATTTGTGCTTTATTGCAAGGACACGGAAGCATAATAAAAACTTGTTGAAAAATTTACGGCCTAGCCACGCCGAAGAACGGATCGGACAAACAAGCTGCGGCTCAGTCTCCACTTGGTCGCTGGTCACGTTTCGGACTCGACCACGGTTCTGTGCCCGGTCTTTGGCCCGGGAAACGGACAGAGACAGGGACACGGACACGAACGTGTTTATTTATGTTCGGGCCACCGCTGAAAACTTTAGTCGTTGTACGTGTCAAAAACTTTTGACAGTGCAATGCCTCCGCGACTTAGGAAGTCAGCAGCTGGCGCTTTCGCCGCAGCGTAAGTCGGGGACCGTGGACCATCTGTAGGCCAATTGAATTGTGCCTTCGATGGTCGGCAGGGGCGAAAGGTCCAGAGCGGATCGGACCTCCGAAATAAAACCTTGACAAGACGCCGCACCAAAGTTAGGACACTTTGAGTAATTTGGTTAGCGAATCTCTTCCAACTTTCTCTGGTAAGTAGAATTTGTTATTAAATAATGTCTAACACATGCGCCAGTCCCGGTCCAAAATAACAAACGGCCAACGGCGAAGGACGCCCATATCCCTAAATAATTGATGAGCGTTCGGGTAATTCTCGAAGTATGTGCTCTATGGATGTGTACATGTGGAATATTAAATGTCGCCCAGATTCAGTTGCGCTGAGAGCCACCGTCTCATCGGTTGAAAGGCCGGTGCGGAAGTTTCCGGATGACCAACCTCAAGTCGTTATGCCCCTCCTCTCAAGTACCACAAATTCAATGGGAAAATTCCACAGAGAAAAAAAGAGCATAAATATATTTCTGATCTTTTTTTAACGGTAATTACACTCCAAAAATTTGACAAAAATATAATCTAAGCATAATATGAGCCAGGAATGACACTCAAGTAAACACTAAAAAAATTGCTAAAATAATACAAAGCCGTTTCATTTGTCAAAAGGGATTCCCTTCATTAGTGAGAAACCGCCAGACTGAACTTTCGTAAGAAACTTTTCCTTAAAAAACAGTCATCAGGAAAAAAATATAACCGCCGATACAGTGAATGCATGTGAATGCCTATTACATATTCGCATATTAGTGATAATCTGAATAATGGAACTGGTTGAGTTGTATATACTTTTTTACTTCAGCATTTCCGAAGATAACAGATTCTGCTTCTAGATATTACATATGTAAAATAAATTAAAACCGATCGTTTACTGCACGATCTGAGCATGGTAGCTGGTCATATTCAGATCATTGCGTGAATCTCTAAGGCCTCAACGACCGCAATTTTAAGTTCCCTGTCATGGGAAAAATACTACGATAATGGAGTGCCTAATAATATATACATACTCGTATGTATTTACGTATACTGGAAACATTCAAA